GTCTAGACTACCCCGGCAGTCTTCATTCCACTCTTTACTTTGAAAGCTTTTTTAGATTCTATGAAACTCTTTGTGTACACTTGGGAAGTAGGGGATGAGTGCCATTTGTTTTGGTTAGTCTTTTCTCCTGTTTTAATGCAGGGAGTTAGGGTAGCTTTTTTGTATTTTTGTTTCTATTACTTTGAGTTTAGTTCGTTTTGTAGTCATTAGTTGTTATCTTTATTATTTTGGTGAATGCTCATCCCCAAAGCCATCATCCCTTGGCACTGACCCTGTGAAGAAAATAAACCTGAGCAGGTTCATGGTTTAAATGGTGTCTGGTGTTTGTTCTGGCAAGTCTAGGGAGAGAGCCCACTCTCATTTTTTCTTATGGCTTGACCCAAGATCGGGTCGTAACAACCTGAACTAGGAGGATACTTTTGGCCATGTCCGGATACTCAGATTTTTACCAAATTTCATGTACACAGATCTGTTTATAGATCTTTTAGCACCCATTTAGGCATTTTTTGGAATATTACACAGTTTAGTCACTTATATTAGCCTAGTTTAATTAACACTGTTAAGAGTAATGTTTCATTCAGTGGTGGACAGTAACAAAGTAAATGTAAATGTTTGTTACTGTACTCAAGTAGTTTTTTCGTGTATCTTCACTTTATTGAAGTATTTCCATTTTGAGCAACTTTTTACTTTCACTCCACTACATTTCAAACTCAAATATCTTACTTTTTACTCCACTACATCATGCAAAATCTGTCATTCCTTTTGGCTTATGTGTGCATAAAAACGTAACATGTCAGAACGTAAGAAGCGCAAAGCAAGAACACCAAACAGGGTATAGTGCACACTTTGTTTTGAGCTTGTTTTGACCTGTTGGACATGCATGCCCAGTGCAAGTATACAGTTCAATGTCAGTGCAACAGTGTCAAATTTTGGGAGTGCCTATGCCAACATAAATAATGAAACTAACCTAACTTTGTGTAAATAGACCACAATATAGAAATATGTACACATATGAAGTTGTGACTGACGTGTCTTTTTCTGAATTTATCCAAACACTATTTCATTTTATAGTAAATTTGTTTTTGCTAGTTCATGTTTATGAACAGAGTACTAAAAGATTAATTATGTAAAGAAAATCTCATTTGTGAACCTGTGTTTAAAGCAAGTTTTTATTAAACTGTAACTAAGTTACAAATAAATCTTAAACCGAAACTTTGCTGGTTTACAAAAGGTTATTTCATAGCCACTTGGTTCTACCTAATGGAAACTGTTTGCCTTCAGTGTTTTGTGCTTATTATAATTTTAATAGACATCAGTGATAGACTAATTAATGACATTCTAGTAAAAGATTGGTTTACCAAGAGTGACACTAGAGTATTTTCAACTAAAATGAGTTAATGAAGCAGAGTCTTGTTACAAAAATGATAATAGGACATTACAGCCATAATTAATCTTTTAGTACTTTCACTTTTAATACTTAAGTACATTTGAAGGCAAATACTTTTGTACTTTTACTCACGTGAAGGTCTAATGGGAAGACTTTTACTGGAGTAATATTTTACCTTGGGTATCTCTACTTTAACTTAAGTACATGATTTGTGTACTTCGTGCACCACTGGTTTTATTACAGTTCAGTAAGTCAAACCTTACTGCTTATGGATTGATGACTTTTTCTACCTTTTTGCTACAATCTAATAAGGTTACACTATTTAAGATTTGGAGACCTCTCTGGTGCAAGTATGTAATTGCACACAACATGTGAAAAAACATTTTGTTACATCAGTTGTGCTTGGGAAACCCTTGCCTGAGTGGATAAATATGATGTTTACAAACACATTGAAAGAGTATTACATTTTTTTTTCCTTCTGCTCCCCTTCTTTCTTTTTGGTGTTGTCCTGTTTGTGATGTTTCGTCGTTGTATACATCTTACATCTATGTCTACTTGTGTAAAAAAAACTCAATAAACACCTAATTTAAAAAAATAAATAAAGAGTATTCAGTCACAACTTGGTGAACAATGGATCTACCGAGTATAAATGAATAATATCTACTACTGTCATTATATCTTCATCAGTAATGTTGAGTTTGCATTTGAGACCTAAATGTCAAGCCAGACCTTCTTTTCGACTCCTACAAAATCCAACCCAAAACCTCTGAATTTTAAATAATTATTTTGGGCTTTACAGGTGACTCACAGCAGTGTTTGCATGCCATATTTAAGTGTTTTTTCTAACTCAGTAACACTTCTTTCAAATTTAGCTTTAAGATGGTTAACAATATGTGGAAATTAATGTGATATATTAGATCTTGATTTATTCTGGTTTGAGTATCAAGGCAACATATGACATATGGATTCTGAAAATAGGAATGGCATATAAATACAGAATTTTTTTTAACAAAAAGACCACCTGAAACAAGAATGAACATTGATGCAGTAGTTTCACTGATCAATTTTGCTGATAGTGGCATTAGAAGAGTCAGAGAGGTGAAGCAAATTTGGTTTCTCTGGAAGCCCAACACTAATAGTGGGGCCATGAGTGAACTTGGTTCAAGGGTTTACCTGCTACTAATCTAAACAAAATTAGTTGTTTTGAGGCTAATTTTTTACTTTTTTTTGGCCTGGTTCCCCAACATCTTACATAAGTATCCAGGATACTGGATACATAGAAGCATTGTGTTTTTCTTCACTCTGTATTCAGCAAAATGGAGTTCTCAGAATTGGGATTAGAAACCTCTGGCCTACAGTATCACTTTAGAAGCAAGAGAACCATGAGAATGCCTTTCAAGTTCTATGTCAAAGTGAAAAGTCAAAGTCAAAAGTTTATTTGTATAGTGCTTTTTACAACAGGCATTATTGTCAGAAAGGAGCTTTAAAGAAAAAAATCCAAGTCCAAGCCCTCATAAGCAAGCCAATGGTGACAGTGTCAAGTCCCTAGTGCAAGAAGAAGAAACCTTAAGAGGAACTAAGTGTCAAAAGAGAATAAATAAAAAATAAAATACAATGAAATAAATAAATACAGATTGCACTGTGTTCTTAAGTGGCATGTGCCTTATTTCTGCTTTTTTTTTTTTTTGGAAGTAAAGTCATCAGTGATGTCCTCATATGACATTTTTGTACTAATATCAGTTAATACTACTGTCTTAACTGAATAAATGGCTTGTATATAGCCTAAGCCTTATTTGTTCTTATATTTTATGTTAATATTTCCTCATGACCACAAAAGTTCAAAATAACAGTTTCTGGTTGTCCAACATTACAAGATCTTAGAAAGATATAAGAAAAACACTAGATTTTAGCTCAGGATTTCAAATGAAAAAGTACTGTTAGCAGTTACTGTTTATTAGAGCAAAACAGAACAATTTTTTTTCTCTTCTTCACACTGTTTATTTAAATGCAACGATTTTTCATTGTAATCAAATTTAAAGGGGAATTCCCCAGATATACAAAATGTCTGCATAATTCAGTGATAAGATGTGAGCAGTCATTCAGAGTAGTGTAAGGTAATGTGAAATGTCATATATATATCTTGAAGTGTGTAGGTTTACTGGCCATTCTGGATAGTAAATAAATTGGCCTGTTTGCATTGTTGACATCCTGGCTCCTGGTTCCATAGTGAACAATTGTGCCTAGGTTCTCTATAATGATGCATTTCACATCCAAACCACTCTGAACGGTTTTGTTTAGGCTTCATCTGAATGATTTAACCCTGTGTGGTGTTCATATTTTTGTTACTCAGCCAATATTTGCAGGTCTGTTGGACCCACTGTGTTATTAGATTTTTAAATAAATACAGCCACAGTTATTTATGTGAAAATACCAGATGTTTACTTTGTCCCAATTACAAGCAATAAAGACAGCATATAAGTTTAATACAGCCCCATTTCCAAAAAAGCTCAAAATGTAAATAAAAACAAAATGCAATGATGTGCAAATCATTTAAACCCTATATTTAATTGAAAACAGCACAAAGACAACACATCAAATGTTGAAACTGAGAAATTATTATTATTTTTTTTTTTTAATAATATATGCCCGTTTGAATTTGATGCCAACAACATGTTTCAAAAAAGTTGGGACAGAGTCAACAAAAGGCTGGTAAAGTTGTGTAATGCTAAAAGAAAAACACCTGGTGGTGAATTGGCAAAAGGTCAGTAACATGATTGGGTATAAAAAGAGCACCCCAGAGAGGCTGAGTCTTTCAGAAGTAAAGATGAGGAGAGGTTCACCACTCTGTGAAAGACTGCGTGGGCAAATAGTGCAACAATTCAAGACTAATGTTTCTCAACATAAAATAGCAAAGAACTTTTGCTTTTCATCATCTACGGGGCATGATATCACATTATATTATGTATATATTAGGTATTATCACATTATATTATGTACATGGGGCAGTCGTGGGCTGGAGGTTAGGGAACCAGCCTTGTGACTGGAAGGTCGCCAGCTCAATCCCCTGAGCCAACAGGACATTAGGCACCTAACCCCCAACTGCTCCCTGGGTGCCGTGGAAAGGGCTGCCCACTGCTCCGGGCAGGTGTGCTCACTGCCCCCTAGTGTGTGTGTTCACTAGTGTGCATGTATGTGGGTGTTTCACTGCATGGATGGGTAAAATGCGGAGGTCTAATTCCTCTGTGTGCAAACACAGTTGGCCAATGGTTCTTAGAAAATGTGAGGTGGCGTGTACAATGTGAAGTCAATGAAATTGTATTTGTTTATATGTTCTTCACAGAAAATGAGCCAAGGCCACGTAGTTTGAGGTTGAAATAATAACAAATCGCATTATTTTTCTTTTGGTAAATATTGAAAACTCCACACAAGGATTAATTATGCATTTGAAAACGTTTGAAAAACTCCCCTTTAAAACTAGCTTGTGTGGTGCAGCCACAGGTTCATCTATAAAACAGCCCGTAGCTGAACTTTGGTGGTAGTTAGGAAAACTGAGAAACAGCGGCTCCGTGTGGAACAGCGCTGGTGACGTCAGCACGAAAAACATTGCAGTACGTGAGCGGAGATTAGCGTGTCTCTGCGCAGACGCGGATGTGCGACTTTACTGTTAGGTTTAAGTCACAGCAGAGAAAACGGCTCTCTGCGTCTCAGAGCGACTGCGGGAGTTCAGAATCGGAGCGAACTGAGGTAGCTAATGTTTTTCTACTGTGACTGCGTGTCCAGACTGTGTACAACACGTCAGGACGTTTACATTCATGTTTACTTGTTTCTTTCACACTGTAGCTGCTAAAATAAGCTCGTCAACTGAATACATTTACGATTTTACAGCTCGACACACGACCCTGACAGTTGGTCACTTTTGTGGTTCGCTGATTTCAGGGCTCGTTTAAAGTGTTGAGCGCTCTTTGTGCACCAGCGGTTATTCTCTTTTTCCGCTTTTAGCTGCACCAGCTGTTAGTCAAGTTTTCCCCGCAGCTCGTAGGCTGCTTTTGGTACAGTAAAGAACTCCGAAACATTTCTTAAACAGTGTGAAGCAACACCGCGTTACAACAGTACTACAATCATTTGATGTTGAGAGTGAACGGTTGTGGACAGACAGAAACGGAAGCAATTTGTTTGTGTGGTGTTTTGTTGGTGTGTCATATTGAAAAATGAGCTGGTTTTATATTGGACTGTGCATGTTAAACTGAATATGAGGATCAGAGCTTGCTTAATTTGTGATGAGGCAAGTTCAGAATCATGTTTGATATTCTTGGACGAGAAACAGCTTCGCTCAAAAAAGAACAACGTAGTGCCGCAGAGTTGTTTCTGTTTCAGGCTAGTTAGGTTATGAGCTGTTACATTGTATAGCCAATTTTTTTATCAAGATCGAAATGTAAATTCACTTCTGTGTGGTTACGGATTTGCGCTAGACACGCCCTAAAGGTTTATTATCACGACATAGGCAAAAGTTTAGGTCCGTGTCACTGCAGTTCTTTGTCTACAATAATATGATAGGAAAAAAGCTACATACACAACGGTTCATGTTGACATAGTGTATAGTCATTATTGTTATTACTGCATTTGGTCACAGTGTCTGATCAGGCATCAGTCTGTAGGACTTTATACACAAGTTTAAGGCTGTTGGGCATTGATGTCCTGTTCCTTCTTCCTCTCCGATCCCTTTGCCTCCCAAGTTCGTATCCCGGCATGCTGGATCAGCCTGAAACCATCCTCAAGTAAAAATATGTCTTTTCAATGAAATAGTGACCCAATTAGATAAGAAGCCTAGCAAAAGAAAGAAAAACAAACAAACACAAAAAATCTTGAGTAGGACTATCAAGTCCAAAACTCCTCAAGCATTCAGTATCTTCTACAACTGAGGAGAACGTATTAGTATGTAGTGTAATAACTTTAGTTTGTTAGACTCTGTTCTAACTCTAAAGCTTCAAAGTGAGATGTCTGAGCAACATTAAAGCTGTCCAGAACAGAATGGAATGGAAAAAAGAGGCTATAAATATGTGCTGCAGCCTTTGGAAGTAAAACTGCACCAAGCACACTTTTGGCACTGTGTTTAAATTTCACTAAATCCTTTTTGGCTTTACAAGAAATATGAATTCCACTTTCTAAAATGGTATTCTTACAGTTCCAGACTTTGAAATGAACAATGTTCATTGCTAGTACTGCACAATAAAGTATGTGTGTATATGATTCTCAGCCCTTGTCCTGGGGGACCTTTACACAATTATGTGCTTTCGTTGTTCAAGTACAGCTGATTAGACTTATGAAGGGTGGTGGGGTGCGCTTATGGATTTAGCTTTGCTCCTTACAAATATTATGAACACATTGTTCAAAGGGAAAAGGGTTTCACATGTATTTGAATCTAGACTGTATTGTCAGAAACTATGGTGAGTTAAGGCAAATATGTCATTTTAGAGCCTTTGTTTATGATATTCATAAAACTGGAATTTATTTTTAATCACAAATTGTTATTGATGCTAAGATTAAATTCTTTCACATAAGGAGTTCAAAGGTCTTGTCTTGCACCACAAGATCCTAACATACTCAGAACAATGCAGTATAATGCAGATCATTAACAGTATCTGTACCAAGACATAAAAACATGTCCTGTATAATTCATTGTATTAAAAAAAACACTGAAATGTGCTTTCTATATTTTCACTTTTAAACAAATATATATTTACGTTTGGTGTATTGTTCATTATTTTTATTACTTTTAATTTTTAGTAACCAGTAATACCTTGATACTTGACAAGAGTTTTGGAGCAGATTTTTTTGTAGAGAGTTCTTTTGTGGAGTTATTAAAGTAGTTTTTAACCATAGCCTGGTGTGTTCTCTTACCTGTGTCCCATGACCGATAACTTATCATAAGAATGTTTACAGACTACAGAACAAGAATAGAGAGTTTCATGTGGTGTTTTTGAGTTACCCTTGTAGCTTAAATGAATCACTCCTGTAGTGATGCGATTATGTGATGTACCTTTAGTGTTTTGCCTAAGATCCACTGTTGTCTCATTATATACAATTCATTTTGACACTTTATTTCTCTTTTCAGAAGTACAGATGGCCTCAGAGTGGTTGGGACACTTCCCCTTGCTGGAGGATAACAATACTGTGCAAGCAGACAACAGCTGCTTCAGTGCCACCCAGAGCACAGTGCTAAAGGGAGTGAGCTTTGGAGGAGTGCCTATAGTTCTGCTGCTCAACTTTGTGGTCTTCCTAGTGAGTGCTATGTCTGTTGAAGAGTGGAAGAGAGGAAAAAAAATCAAAGAAAAAGCAGCTGCAGCTGAGATTCAGTAGGCCTTTGCTAGAAAATTTAACACAGTTTTCGGCTGTTTACATTCCCAAGTTGTGGCGGTTCCCCACTGACTGAGCTCAGCCAGTCAAGTAATGTGGCCTGTGCATAAATTGAGGCACATATTATATTTTAAGATTTATTTTTTTCCCCCAATATGTTAAATTCAACAAATGAATAAATGTGTTTACATTTGTTCTCTGTAGAGGGTGTGTTTGCTCATTTCACTTAGAAAATCAGCAAAACATCTAATTTGACAAGTGGTGTTTAAACTTTTGCATAGTTTAGTTAGGCTCTAAAGTGCATTTTCTCTCTACCAGTTACATGTTTACAGAAAAATTCACCAACACAGTATAATCAGTCTCTGTAAAGCTCAGGGGCATTCTAGTGAGGGTTTGACCATGATCTCCTCAGTTTGGAAACTATTAGAACACTGTCAGTTTTACACCAGGAGCTTGGTCAGTGGCGACAAGTTTGTCTCTTTAAAGGGCCATTTTCCCAGACCCACATTAAGCCTAAGCCTGAACTAAAAAGAATTTGTGTTAGTGATTCACTATTGGCATTTCCATTTAGTGTAAGACATAATCTATGAAAAGGGCCTTAAGAGTCATTTTGGAAGCTTTAAACTTTCTCAGTGAGTATTTGCAGAAGATGTTTGATATAATTACTGTCTATACCCATCCACAGGTGTTGCTGCTAGTCTTCACTTGCATCAGAAAGAAGCTATGGGATTATGGAAGACTGGCATTAGTAGCAGAGGCTGAAGGGTGTGTAAGACCTTTTCAATAAGCATATAATTGTCATGGATTTATGGAGTGTAACACAAACAGTTCATTGTTTCTTTTAGGAAAGACAGGTACTCATAAATGCAAGAGGCATATGTCCTAGGAGATTTAATTGAATAAAGTTAACTAAGGGTCTTAGAGATTGCTGAAGGCTTATAAAATGTAATTTATACTGACACATATGTACACAGTACAATCAAAACAAGAAAGTTTATATTTAAAACATTTATTGTACAGTTCTGAAACTGAATATGCTGCAATCATAGCCTAATGATCAGGGTTTTAATACAGCATTGAAAAATCAGAGAAATAAATTCAGCACAATGTTGGGTGGAGGGGTTATGCTACACACTCATCTGTCCTAAAATTGGGCTTATTCTCTGAACCCACTTATAAATTCTAAAGTTTATGATTTTTGTGGTTGTTAGAAGGCTGATGTGGGGAGTCTATAAAAACAGTAGTAGACGTAGTACTTATTAACAATACTAAAATGAAAATAGTAATTAAGAGTTCTGCAGATTCAGCATAAAAATCTAATCTAAAATTGTATTAAACCTGAAAATACAGTCATATGCAGTGTGTTTGAATTACATTATGTTGATTTATTAAGTGAAAATAAGTGCACATCTTATACAGAGAAAAGCACATTTTGATTATTTTCACTTAGAAAATCAACAAAGCATGTAGTTTGACCAATGTTCAAACTTTTTCATATAAATTCACGTAGACCTTCTTCCTTGACCTTATAGACCTTTTACCTCCTTGTATCTACATTCATTGCCCATTTTATCAGCTCCACTTACCATACAGGTGCACTTTGTAGTTCTACAGTTACAGACTGTAGTCCATCTGTTTCTCTGCATACTTTCTTAGCCCCCTTTCACCCTGTTCTTCAATGATCAGGAACCCCACAGGACCACCACAGAGCAGGTGTTATTTGGATGCCGGATCACTTTCAGCACTGCAGTGACACTGATGTGGTGATAGCCTGCATCTTGCGTACATCATCACAGCATCTTTGACACAGGGTTAAATGAACCTTAAATAAAATATTTTTAATTAAATGCACTTTAAGAAGTGCTTTTTTAATTGTAGTTAATCAGTTGCAGTTAAAATACTGGAAATACAGTGTGCACTTGGAAATACTCATTAACTTCTTGTAAGAAAAATTAGTTTATACTGTCAAGCAGCAACGCTGGCATTTTCTTAACTTTTAAATTAGCCGTTCATCATTTGGCAGCTGTTGTATAAACCATCACAACAGCTCACTCAACCAATCAATCATTATTTAAACTTAGAATACATTGTGGGTGTCCCTCAAAATAAAAATAATGAGCTAAGAACCAACTGAAATGGAATGTATGCAAATTCAACAAGTAAACGGTCAAATCAAAGTGATGGAACTAAAATGATTACATAAAATAATAAAATCAGATAACCTTAAAAGTGGAATAAGAAAGAAAATAAGAAAAGAATAAACAAATAAAAATGTAAATCTGTTGTAAATTCTTGGGACTATTCCAGTTTTTGGGAGAATGTTTGAGCAGTTTTAATTGTGTATAATAAGGTTTAAATATTAAAATAATGATGTTTTGGTAACTGCAGGTTTAATGAAATTTCTAGACGTCGCTATGGTAGAATGACATCCTTTATGTCCATTGAGGAACCTGAATATGAGAGGGTGAGTTTGAGTGTCTTCATATTTATCATCATCATCATCATCATCATCATTGTCATCAGATCGTGCGTGATGTCCTATTTCTTTTGCTTAGGGATTCTGTTCTTGGCTCACCTTCATCATCAGAATGGAGTGAGTTTTTTCACATAGTACTTTTTGTTGGTGTCAGCAACAAAACATGTTTGCATCATTGTTGAGTTCATGCTGATCATACTTTTCATATGCCATAATTCTAACCAGGTCGGGGACACATAAATTCATGTTTGTGTGTGTGTGTGTGTGTGTGTGTGTGTGTGTGTGTGTGTGTGTGTGTGTGTGTTTTCAGTGAGACAATAGTGAGAGAGAGGTGTGGAATGGATGCTGTGTACTATCTGTCCTTTCAGCGTCATCTTATCATTTTGCTGCTCATCGTCTGTGTACTGTCTGTCTCTGTCATCCTTCCGGTCAATCTCTCTGGAGACCTGCTAGGTGTGTAACACTCTCATTTTTCACACACACATTTGTTTTGATACAATGTTAGAACTTTGGAGTCATATATGGTCAATATGCAAAAGTTTTGGTGCCCCGGTCAAATGACATGGTTTGTTGCCAGAGTACAAACATATTTTAGCATAACTCTTTCAGTGTCAGATCCCATCAGGCTTGTGATTTTAAAAGTGTTAAAATCAATGTTAGAGGCTCTGGAAAACAGCACAAGTTCTTCCACTGCAGTACCGGTATAGTCAGCTGAGCAGTACAAGATGGTGTCATTGGCGTCTAAATGTCCTTTGCAATCGACAACTGAGGTGGCAATGTCTTTAATACAAATATTAAATAATACTGGTCTGAGGATCGAACCTTGAGGGACCCCCCTAGTTACCTGTAGTAGCTCTGATTTACTTTGAGAGTAGCAGCAGAGATTGTGCTGTGCTTTTCTCTAAAACCAGATTGGTAGCCTGACAAGATGGAGATTTTGGCAAAGCATGGTAATTTTGAGTTCTATAGTTCCACTTTGTGAAGTGGAATTATGTGTGCCGCTTTAATCGGGGTTGCAAGCCTCAGAAAAAAAGGGGTCCAAACTATCCTCTCCTGTACTTTTTTAGGCCCAATTTCATTTCTTATTTTTACCCTTACCCCTTGTTTTTGAGTGTCACATTACCCCTTAGAACTGAGTTACAAGGGGTAGTGGTTGAAATGTTCCCCAACAATTTTATTTGTACCGGTCTCAACAAAAATCGGGACACCCTACCCTAAGTGGTAGGGACAAGAGGTGAAATGTGATTGGGCCTTAGTGGTGATGGTGATTTGCTACTAAGCTTTGGTTTGGATGGCTTTGGCTACTAAGTGAGGTGAGAAAGGCTGAATTGTCTTACAGCATGGGGTCTGTCTATTTCATGGAGAGGCGTTTTTTGTATTAGTATTATCAAGTAAATGTCCAGGAGCTGCAAGGTGAGTATAAGATGCTTGGCAGATCTCTCTCTAATCTGTATTCTGTTTATCACTAATTTCAGTATGGGTTGGAATAAGAATTGATTTTGTTTTTGAGCAAATTAACTCTTCCAGAGTCTTCCAGAATTTGAAGGAGTTTGAAGCTGAATTTGTAAATATCTGAAGGTTAAATTCTGCTTTAGCTTTTCTGATGTACATTTATTCCTTAGCTGCCTGAAGGTAAGCCATTGATCTCTGTCACCATTTCTGCTTTATTACTTTATTTAGCAAGGAATATATTTCAGAGTTGAACCAGGGATTTGATCTATCTCGGATTCTAAAGTTTTATGGGGGCATGCTTGTTTACCACCACCAGGGAAGTTTTGCTTAAATGGTCTAACGATAAATCAATATCTGGGATTTCAGAAGTGTAGTGTTTGTCACTGAGTGCCAAGTCATTTAATTTTTACAATTTTTAAATTTCTTCTAACCACCATCTGAGAACCTGACTTTATAGTGCTTTACTTTCTAATGCATTTGATATGGCCACTAAGACCAGGGTCAAATACAGCTGTAGAGGTAATTTTGTCAGGTCTGTTGGATAAAATTAAATCTATTAGTGTTGACTTGGTAGGGTCATACAAGTTTGGTCGTGTTGGTTCTGTAATTAGTTGCATTAGAGAGAGATTTCCACACACTTCCTTCAAGTGATCAGATGCATTTGTTAATCAATTCACGTTAAACCACCTAGGATCAGTATTTCTGAGTTGAGAAAAGAGAATTTTTCTCTGCATAATGAATTAAGAGTTTTTACTTGAATGATAGATTTAATGTAAATAGCCACTCCACCACCCCTTGCTATCCTATCAGCTTTGTATAGATTAAAACCAGGTAGGGCTGCTTCTAGGTTAGACACAGATTATTTTAACCAGATTTCAGTCAGAACTATAATCTAGATCATCTTGTGAAATCAAAATGTTCAAATTATCATGCTGAAGAAGACTCTTTATAGTTAAATGAATTATGTCTATGCCTTTTCTGTGTTTGAAACTTATAGAATCTGTTAGGTTGTTGCAAGCATAAGTTTCGGGGTTTGTGGGACAGTTTGGGTGCAGAGAGGTGACCAGAATGTCTTAATGCTGATAAGATTAGCTGGGTTAATAAAAAAAATGTACTTTTCTGCTTTATTCCCATGTTTGACTAGCTGATCCTAGGCTGATTGCTAATGGCTACAGGGAGAGCCAAGTACTCATTTCTTGTTTCAGGTGGTCATTTCAGGTTAAGAACAGAGTATGTATGTATGTATGTAAGACTGTGGCTACCAATATTTCCCTCAAATACTGTAAGTAGTTCTGTATTCAGGCGAAAAAAATGGCAGGATAAACAACCTTTTCACATTTTTTCTTCTTTTTCTCCTTTTTGATTTTGATAATCAGAAGAATGGAAATAAACAAGTTTTGATGATGTAAAGCTAAGTGTACTTTCCACCATTCTTATCAGCCCAAATGTTCAGTAAGGAAGCTAAACAAATCATGTTATTTGAGGGGGGTGTTCAAACTTTTGCACATGGCTGTATATGCTCCACATACTGTGTATATATTGTATACAGAACCGTGCAAAAAATCTGAGAAAATCATATGTAAAGTTACTTATGTGACCAGTATGTTATTATAGTTTGAAAAACACTAACATTACAACAAATGCAAATGAATACATTTACATTTACATTTACATCATTTAGCAGACGCTCTTATCCAGAGCGAATAAATAAACCAAGTCAGGGAACATAATTATACCATAATCCACTGAAATTATATTTTCTAAGTTGTATTGACTCCACACCCCATCTCGTCTCCAGGCTTTTTATTTTATAGTTCTGTTTTTTTTTAAAAAAATACAAATATGTACTTTTCACCTGGGAAAAACTTAAGGTACACAATTGGACCTTCAAACCACTGTTGTACCTTTGAGGGTACATTTACACTGCTTGTACCTGGATGAGTGAAAATTGTACCTGCACAGAACCTTTATTTCTAACAGTGTAGGACAGGACAGATTATCTTTCTCATGTACTACTGTCGGGACATAGTGACAGTTTTAGCAAAAATAGACAAATGTTATTTTTATATAAGTTAAATACTGCAGCTTTAACCATTTCCAAACCTCTCCTTCCATCCAGCTGCTTCAGCTAATCAATGCTGTACACACACACAATTTATGAGAGATGCTTGCACAATCTATAATACATGTCTTATTTGAATGCTTCTTTATGCAGTTATACAGGATGGAAGTGGTTAAATAATCTTCAGGCATCTACACAGTCCAACCATGTAACTTCTAAATTTCCTAAAGTATTCAGTGCAGTGTATTTTACTTCCTATGTTGAGTAGAAATAAAGTAGCTGTGAAATAATAAATAAGGGCTGTGTCACACAATTCCTTAGTTTTAGACACTGCTACTTCAATTTTGATACCTTAGAGGAACATGTTCTGAGTAAAGCAAGAGTTTAACAGCACTGCTTTGTGGATAAAATGTTGAGTATACACAGCACTTCTTAGTCAGTGGACCTGTTAGCTAACCACCAGGCAAAGAAAGGGAAAGAACAAAAATTCTTAAATTAACACATTAATGTGATTTACACAATTCTGAAATTAAGAATCAATTACAAGTAATTATTTGCAGTTACAGATACAACAAATACAATTCGCAGTGACTGAACGATGAATATGCTCATGAAGTCGTTCTAAGAATAATCCTAGCCTATTTAAAGTCTAGCTAAAATTAGAACGGGTTCAACAAGTAAACATGTGAGTGATGTGATGGATCAATATTATTAAGACTAAGTTAGACAGGTCAGTATGTGTGCCTGTTCTTTAGGTGTTTGCATTAAACAATGACAGTAATGGATGTGCTATGATTATGTAATGTTGCAGAGAATGATCCTTATAGCTTTGGCAGAACGACCATTGTAAATCTTCCACAGAGGTAAGTATACTGCAAATGCATGTGTGTTGGGTATATGTACATGTTTAACAGTATTCAATATTTTATAATATGAAACTACATACTACTGAGAAGCAGTGACGTTGAAATGTTGAAGAGCTTCCTGTGGTTGGCTGATCAGCAGCAGGAAATGTGTGTTTCACCTCACAATGGTTATGGGTTCACTTCCTTTCATATTTATTTACATTTATATATTGCAAGTAGATGGCCATGTTAAATATGTTCCATCAAACAGATCTTTAAATTCAAGGCAAAGGTGTGACAACTATCGTAAGCATTTGCAGAACCGTGTTATCCTTAGACCATCACTGCTTCTCATTTGGTTGAACAGAGAAAGATGCGTTGTTTTCCTGTGAAACTATTGAGCTAACTAGCAAACCCCAGTTTCTCAATATGGACCACTTCCTTCCCTAACCAAACATCAATTTGTAGACAACATGGGACAAATTTAAAGGTTAAACCTTCCAATACATTATGTAATACATTTCTAAACATGAACAATAGAAGAGGTACTACATTAATAATGGTTAGCTAATATTAAGTAAACAAACTACATGAAATAGTGTTAACATTTAACTAACATATTTGTTAATATAAAATACACATGAGATTCTGTTATTGATGATTAGCTAATAATGGTAAACAAATAATGCATTAATTTGTTTTTTCTTTTAATTTGATTACTTTTCACTTTACATCAGGTATGTTAAATGGATTTAAGAAATACTTATTGATCTTTAGTAAAGTTTAATAGGTAGTACTGATGCATTACTGAGACATTTGTTTTCACATAAAATGTATAATGTCTTGTTTACTAAATAATAATTTCTCCCTATATAATAATAATAATATTATCTTATATTAAATAATTATTATAACTAATAATTATTTAATATAAGTAGTTTGAATTAAGTAGTAGAACTAAGTAGTTGTTTATAGTCCCAGGTTTATACTATGTATAATTACAAATAACTGGCAGCTCCTTCAGTTCTATTCTGTTCCAGTTCTGAAGGAAGCGATATGTCTATAAATTGGTAATAGAAACAGAAATTTACTGTCATAAATGATGGGTCTGTTTCAGAGGATAGTCGCTAAAGCTTTTATAGGAAAGTCACTTTCCAAGATATGTTATATATTGGAGATTAACTACTAGTAAAGACATTTATGTTAAACTATGTCTTGAGTATTGTAAGAGTGTGTGTGTGTGTGTGTGTGTGTGTGTGTGTGTGTGTGTGTGTGTGTGTATATATATATATGCATGTATGTGTGTGATTGAAAATGAAATTACAGAACGTTATCCAAAATATACCACTTAACTAATGAAACAAGTGGTTTGGCTGCAACTGATACTGCCAATGTAAACAGCAGGTTGAATTCCACAGAAAACCATTATCTGCTTAAATACAATCAGATGCTTCAAAACGTATCAAAGGAGACCGATTTTACACGGCAACACTGGTCTATTTACCCTAATGATCTCAATGAAACAGCAGAAATTAAAAATAGTATCAGCAGACTTTAGAATGTCATTACATGTGAAAGATGTATGATCACCTTTTTCGCTATAGGCTAGTGTTTGTCTATACACTACAAAAATGCCAGTGGTTGGAACGTTTAGGCCCATTACTACTATATTATTTCAAAGTATTGTGTAATTAGAAAATGCTATTAGCTTTCAAATTCCAAAAAGTATTTGGACAGTACTATTTTGGCGCTCATAGTGTCATGGAGACTGTTTTGTCCTATGTGCTGACAGAGATGGTGACAGCAGTAAGGAATTTGACTCTTATATTGAAGTAATGATGATATTGGTATTTAAATATTGGGGATCATATTATGGTATCTAAATATTGAGGATCATATGTTAAATTAGGGTTGGATGGTTGATCTACAGGAGCAGGGATAAGATCCTTGGCCTAGGTGTTACGACTAGCATGCTAGAATTTGAAAAGTGGTTGTAAAGAAGCCATGGCACAAAGAAGACATAATGTGTTGAATTGTATTTACAGTAACACAGCACATAGGCACATTATACAGGGCACTCTAATGGCTAAATTGAAAAAGGAAAACTATGATTTAAAAGTGTGGAATTACTGTTCAGTAAAAAATGCAAGCAATGTTTCTGCAGATACATAAAGCATGATGATAATATGATGCTAGCACTAAAAACTTCATAGGTTTTAAATGCTTAGTTGGAAGAAAAGGAATAAGAAATTTAAGATGTATACAGAATAATGAACAGCCATTATTTAATAACTGAGAAAGTAATATAAATAATATAAATAGACCATTACAGTATAAGCTCCCAAAAACATTAAGATATTGAATAAATACATTCTGGAGTCTAGTATTCTATATCAATGCACACTTATAAGTCAGTGTAACAATTATTAACATAACAAGTGATTTTAAACTGTGCAATGGTAGTGTATATCCACGTGTATGTTTTGTAAAAACCTGTTTATATTATTGGTTCTCAGGGATAAATTGTTTTGGCTGCACACAGTTTTTGCAGTTCTGTACCTCATCCTCACAGTGGTGCTGTTGAGGCGTCACACTTCACTGATGAAGGGCACAAACAGAGAGACTGTGAGTCCACATAGCTTCTCTCAAATACACCCTTGCTCTCTGTCTCTCTCTGTCTCCCCCGCCCCCTACTCCATTTTTTTTGCTTAGTTATATAATTTCTGTTTTCTTTTTCCCCAGGCCCAAAAAACCCTGTTTGTATGCTCTATCCCCCTGATAGCCACGGAAGACAGTTTAAGGACACATTTTACGTAAGCTAAGACATTTTTTAGTCTCTTTAGTTTTAGTCTTTTTAGTTTTTTAGTCAGTGAATAGTTTTACACCGCAGCCATTTTTCTATCATTTTCCAACTGCTTTAAATACCATACCTCTTTATTATATTTTAACAATTTCACATTTTTATGCTGTGGCATATCTGCATGTTTTAAATGCATAAAATGAGAGAGCAAAGCTGATCTGGGGAATATTGCGAGGGTATCTCATGTACCCTCAGTGATGTCACATGTGGAAGTTTTCACTTATCCTTAATAAGTTTGATTAACGTTTGGACTTTTATTGATGAAAGTGTTTTGAATGTTTTTCTAATTTTATTGTGAATGCGCTGTGATTTAATTGCCTTGTCGTCTGTTGTATGTGCAGAGAGGCGTACCCCACCTGTCAATTGGTGGATGTTCGCCTGTGCTATGATGTGACCAAGCTGATATACTTAACAACAGAAAGGTAATAGTAACTCTATTTTTTCATGGCATCATATCTTTCAGATATAAATGGGCCTCATTCACCAAAATCTTCGTAAGTTTTTTTTCTGAAATTTGTTTTTGAGAAAAATCCTATGAAAAGAGTAGGTCAAATTCATGACGTGTTCTTAAACCGCAGAATTGTTTGCACCTTTGTGAGTGTGCATTGATTCTGTTATTACCTAAGAACAAATCCCAAATAAGAAAACACTGGTGAATGTCAGAGTCTTTGCGAAAATAAGTGGGTTTTAAGAAGTAATTTCCAATGTTTTTGCTTCAGAATTATGTTATTGCTTTGACAAAAAACATTAGCAAAATTAGCTATGCAGGACTGTTAACTTATATACTAGATTACCAGTACTGAAGATTATATTGTCTTTTGTAATGAACTCAGTTTGTTCCTCTTTTCAAGCACAGAGGAAATATTTCTGTCATCAGATCCTCAGGCCAGTGACTTTTTGTAACTGTGACAATTTTATGAGGCATCTCAAAACATTAGCTAGATAAAACTCAGAGCAACCCTTACATCTCAACAGAGCAGATCAATGGCAGTGATTGAGAAAGCTTTTACTGTTGCTGATGGTGTTAAACAGGAAGCGAGCGGAAAAGAACCTGGAGTATTACCGCAAAGTTCTAGACCGCCAGGGGCACCGAGAAGTCATTAACCCACGACCATGTGGACACATCTGCGGCTGCTGCACCTGCCGAGGATGCGAAGGGGTAATGCGGAGTAAACCATTAGCCCTATTATTATGACGTTTAAAAGTAATAGTAGATAGTTAATAGTTAAAAGAACTATTTGTTATACTTAGCTGTTATTAAGAGATGACTAAAGGCTCAGAGTGGCATGGACACATGTTTGTGTGTGTATATGTACAGGTTGATGCTGTAGAATACTACAGTTCTCAGGTTACTAAACTTGATGAGGCCTTGAAAAAGCATGAAGAGAGAGAGCCGCGTGCACTGGGAATGGCTTTTGTCACGTTCCAGACTGCATCCATGGCAGCACTGTGAGTATTAACTGCATTCTCTGCCACGCTGAGCATATTCAGGCTGTATTTGTAAAGCTGCCCTATCACACATGTGAATATAAAGCTCTCATCATAATGTAGTAGAGTATAACGTAACATTTGCACACAATGGCCTTTATTCATCAAAGTTGCACAGAAATGAGTGGAGTGTCGGAATTGACTCTCAAACTACTCCACATCTGATTCATTAAACTGCTGTACAACATTGAAATGAGCAGCTATTTGAGCTCAGTTGATGGATTAGCTTCAGATACTTGGACAAGCACCCACACACTATTTCCATTTTCTCTTATTTACGTATCATTTACAAATTATGTGCCATACTTTGCCATCATATGCATATCATTTATTTAAAACATGCCACAAATTCATTCCGGTGTTGAGAGAACCAATTAAAGGAAAGCTGTCATAAGCCAATAGCTGTCCAAATTCAGCCTGACATTGTGTTTTGTTCAGGGCTGCATGGCCTCTGACCCTTCTAGGCTTGTTATGTGTCTGTATGTCTAAAAGTATCCAGACGTCTCTTCTAATTAGTGAATTTAGCTACTTTAAGATGCAGTCATTGCTGGCAGAGGTGTTCAATTGTGCACACACAGCTTGTATGATAGAACAGCACTGCTAATAATAATGGACACTCAGGAGCAGCCGCACATCAGTCTAAGGTCACCATGCCGAGTTCAGTTGTCTGCTAGAGGGGTGTACGAACCTCAGTATTGGCCTGTGGAGCAGTGGAACTGTGCTGTCTGGAACTGCGTTCATTGGGATGAGTTAGAGTGAAGTTTGTGATCCACACTTAATCATCCAACATCAGTACCTGACCTCACAAATACATGGTTGAATGCAGTCAAATCCTCACAGCAATGTTTCAACATCCAGTGTGAAGCCTTTTCGAAAGAGTAGAGGCTGTCACTGCAGCAAAGAAGAACAAACTTTCTACTAATATCCTTGATTTTAGAAGAGACATTAGATGAGCAGAGGTCTTAAACCAGTGGTTCTTGTATGGGCCATGATTCCCTTTCACTCGACTCATCCTACCCATTAAAATTAGCTGAATTTATAGCACTGAGAGACTGGCTCTGAAGTCTGCATTTAATGTAAATATATGTTACTTTGCAACCTCTGCTGCTATTCTGCTGCTGTTATGGCATGGGAAACATGGCATTGCTGGCTATAAATAAACCAGTATGTGTCTCTTCAATTGCATATCGCCTCAATGTTTTAGTTTATAAAGACAAAGTGGGGATTAAGTACGGGATTAAATCTTGTTATCCGATTTTGCTTTCTGTTCATTTCCTACACATGGATGTACAAATGTACTTTGCTCTTCTCACAAAAAATGTTATGTTCAAATGATAAAGAAATTGTTCAAAACTAAAGTTCCAGGATATTGCCAGTGTTTTAGGATACATTAAATACATCTGTGAGTAGTGATGTTCATATTTCATTTTAATCTTTCTTTACATTTTTACCACCATCTTGTGCCTTTTTCAATGGTTGATACAAATAAAACGCAATACTATGAAGCCATGATTTTTTTTGTTATAATGCTGTGAAAATATCAGACTGTGACCCCCCCTGACTTCCATTTCAGTACTGTGATACACCACAGACTGTTTACAATTACATATTTGTGACAAATAAACTGCTATTTTGAAAATCAACAAAAGACAAAAACATACCGCAATGATAGATTAGATTACTGCACAAAGATCAGACAGCATATTAGATATGTTCTCTGACCCCTCTGAGAGCACAGAGCTTTAAATTTCTGAACAAATATTATGACAACACTCTCAGTTTATAAGTTTATTAAATATTTATTTACAATATGGGCTTTTGGAGAGTGGATGTATGAGTATACCATCTGTAAAACTGGAGTGGAAATCTGTTTGACCCACTGTCCTCTTATCTCAGCATCCTGAAGGACTTCAATGCTCTTGAATGTGGAACCGTGTCTGGGGAGATAACATGTGGCTGTGGTAGAGAGCCTCAGCCTTCATCCAATAGTGAACAGCTGAAGCTGAAAAAAATGGAGGGTGAGCTATGCCACCCATCCGAATAACATTGTGTGGTAGGTAATGCACTGACATTTTTGTTTTTTAAAGCTACACTATGTAAGATTTGGGGATTTGGAGAGCTCTGATGTAATCACTAATGTATTGCCATAACGTTTGTGTGTCTAACCCTTTCCCCGAGCAGATTAATATGATAATTGTGAGTGTGTTGAAAAAGAAGTCAGTCAAAACATGGTGAAGGATGTGTCTTCTGAGGGTATAAGTGAATTGTCTACTGTTGTCATTATATCTTCATCAATATAATGTTGATTTTGCATTGGAGACCTAAATATTGAGCCAGATTTTCTTTTTTAATCTGTATGTGCGACATTAATACATAAAGACATATGATGTGTTCTGTTCCAACACCTTTAACTTTTAAATTCTTATTTCAGGCTTTACAGGGTGGCTCATAGCAGCACGGACATCATATTTTAGCATGTTTTTTTTTTTTTTCCTGACTCATTAATGCTACTTCTTTCAATCTTAACAAAAAATCTTACATAGTGCAGCTTTAATGAATCATTTTGAAATTGCTCCTTTCCCTATTTTGTTTGGCTTTTCAGTAACAATACACTGTTGTTTGTCTGTCTCAGGGAGAATCTGTCAGTCCAGGGGTTGTGTTGGTGGTCTCGGTGTCTGCTGCTCAACATATTACTATTCATCCTGCTCTTCTTCCTCACTACTCCCTCAATAATAATCTCTACCATGGACAAGTTTAATGTCACAAAACCCATCTACTATCTAAATGTATGTGCATTGCAGCTCAATTTTTTTCATTCTACCTCCTCAAAACTGTGTTTTAAATTTTGCTTTAAAAGCACTTCAACTTCAAAATGAGCCATTTTTAGTTAAAGCACTTTGCCTAAGATGAGCATCTGAAAGTAGGCCAACACGCTCAGACTGTGCTATATTAGGATAGATTTTAGCCAGGATTGGACCTGACTCATTCTTTCCTTCCCTCCAATGTCCGATCTGGCATTCTTTGCTGCACTCATCCATACCAACATGCAATCTCTAGTTTTGTTTGTATTGTGTTGTGCTTTCTGAACGTGTGTGTTGTGTTGTGTTGTGTTTCTGATGCAGAGTGCTATTATCAGTCAGTTCTTTCCAACTCTGCTACTGTGGTCATTCACTGCACTGTTACCTACTGTAGTCTACTATTCTACACTGCTGGAGGCCCATTGGACCAGGTACACATGCATATAAATACACACAGACACATGCACACATACAAATACAAACACACAGAGAAATTAACTTGAATACTTTGTCCTCAGGTCAAGTGAGAATATGAGTATGATGTATAAGCTCTACATCTTCCTGATTTTCATGGTGCTTATCCTGCCATCACTGGGCCTCACTAGGTATCTTCTCTCTTTTTCCTTTTTTATCAAATTTTTGTTAGTTCATGGCTCTGGTCATGGTAAGCAGCTTCATCTTCATACAATTTAAAAGACAAAATTCTTGTTTTCCCATAATTATTCATCAAAATATAATGACTTTTGTCAGCCACAAAATCATCTTCCGAGTTTTTATTACATCACCTTTCACTCCCCTGACCCAAACCTATCATTGAGCGAAAACACCCAGCTAACTCAAAGACCATCTCTAATACTCCTGTATGTCACAGTATAGAAGGAAAAATGCATTATGATTTCCGATTCATATTGACTTTAATATGTAATGCCTTATATTTGGTCCTCCTCGTTATTTGTGGCCTGATGTTCTCTGAGAGCGTAACCCATAGTAGGTTCAGCTGTCAACATTGCAAGTATAAATTATGAAATAGTTCTTTGAATTCAAATGTAGGCTAAAGCAATAACAGTTTATAAATGCAGCCATATCCTTATCAGGAATATTAAAGTGACAGTTCCACACTACATTTTTTCAGTTTTCACATTATTCCAAATTTGATCAGCCAAGATGTTTGGGGTCCTAAGTATATTTCTTTAGTTTTGTTCAAGACTAGTGTTTGATCTACCTTTATATTACTATAAAAACACAAAAAAGTACAGACAAAATTTTTGCTTTAAGGTGGCTGCTACTTCTGTTTTGTTACTGCTATGCAGTATACTTTGTATTTTTATGGACAACAATATGTCATACGATGTCAGTCATTTTAAGGTATGTGATAATTTATGCATGCAGTTTGCACAGTGCTAACCTGGCAGCTATAAACTTCCATTATGTAATAGCTACATTAACCTGGTACTTGCTGTGCAAAACTGAAGAAGCAGACATCAGATACCAAACATGTCTGGGCTGATTGACAGCATTTTGCCTCCCTCCACAGCCTGGATGTGTTTTTTCGTTGGGTCTTTGACACTCGTTCAGAGCGGAAGCTGAGGTTTGAGTAAGTGAAATTTGGTTGTCTGGTATTTGTTTACAGCACCAGCCCTATATCCCTTTATTGCTCGGTTCTCTCTGTTTCACACAATTTAATTCGGTTTATTTAAATAACCATTAAATTACCAAATTATACAGTTTTGACAGTCGAATTGTAAGAATGATTGGTGGTGTGTGCCCTCTCCCTCAGGTGTGTGTTTTTGCCGGATCAAGGGGCTTTCTTTGTGAATTACGTGATTGCGGCTGCATTGGTGGGTTCCGGGATGGAGTTATTGCGGTTACCAGGGTTACTGCTCTACACTGTGCGCATGGCACTTGCACGCTCAGCTGCAGAGAGGAAATATGTCAAACAGGTACATCTGTGACCCTTGATCTCTGACTCCAGCTGTGCACCAAGTCTGTTTGATTTGGTGAAATCAACTGAATAAAATTAAAATATTGCTTAAATGAAACAAAATGACCCCTCATTCTACACTAAGTAACATGTTCATTTTGTTTCATTTTCATGGTCAGGCACATGGCATAATAATAATAATAATAATAATAATAATAATAAGGACACTGGAATCTAAAGACCACTCAAAGACTGCTGTGGACTTGATTGCACATGTAGCTATGTAGGGGTTGAGGTGGGGCCTAGGCCCTCCCCTTTGAAAGTCAAGCCACCATAGATTCAGAACTTGTTGAACTGTGCTAGTTCCTAGCATAGGCTACTACTTATCTAGCTAATGACCTAAGTAAATTGTTAAGTTGAGCGTGGTAAAGAAAATATCTATTGCTTGTGTTGTAAAATGTGCTGTAAAAGCCAATACCTGCGTGGCATAATGTCAGCTAGGCAATAAATGTGGGGTCAGCAATCCTGTGTTGAAATGATTTTTCTAATCTTTCTAGTTATGGTTATAATGATAAACAGCTACAATAAAGTAAGCTAGTTGAGTGGTTGCTGGTTAACGTGTTTTTTTAATCAATCTCGTTATAGCGATTTTTGTAGACCATAATGCTTTATGTTTATGAATGTTAAACATGGTTTCTGTTTGTCTGTTGTGTGAAGAATCAGGCATATGAGTTTGAATATGGAGCAATGTATGGATGGACTCTGTGTGTCTTCACGGTCATTATGGCCTACAGCATCACCTGTCCTGTTATAGTACCATTTGGTAAGAGAACTGCATAAACTTCTTACATCCTAATATGCAGTTAAACAGTCTTTGCCTCCTGATTTAACTATTTTTTTCTCAACTTGTATGTTCTAAGAGACACCAGATGTCATGATCAAAAACTGATTTTTTTAACATTTTAGTACCTGATCCCTAATTAAAGACCATTCTTACCCAAGAACAATTAATACATAGGGTTTGTGGGTAGTTATGTTGACAATAAGCAGTATTATTCCAGCATTTAAAGCATACATAAGGATTTAGATGCAACAGGGTCTATGAACAAGTAATGTATGTATTAAAATATTTTATAGAAAGGCTCCAAGCAATATTACAAGTCTTTCCTTATTGTTGTTTTTATTTACAAATACCTGATTATTGACAAAACTGTCCTGAAACAACTTGCGGAGATCTAAAGCCCTGTCCAAGCTAAGGACAAAGTTCATCAGAAAACATCCTGTGACAAATTGAATACATGGCTAAAAAAAGACACAAACCAGAGTTGGCCACTAGAAGAAGTTTGACAAAAATATCTATGGTCAGATGAACCAGCTGTGAAACCTTTGGGCCAAAATCCAAAGACTACATTCAACATAAAGAATGTAGTAGTCATGCCAGTATTTAGGCATGGTTAAAAAATGTAGTTGATATTGGCTTCTTTGCTGCATTTTGACTTGTTTGACTTGTCATTACTGCTGAAATAAAGAACTTTACTCTGTGGGGAAGAACTTCAGAGAAGAATATAATACTGTTCTTGAGTCATGAAACTAGTTGATGAAACCGATCAAGCTGAATAGACCAAAAAAATCTGAAAATCAGAGTAGTTCATTCTCAAAATAAAGTCACTGAAGTTTTCCAGATGATATTTGGTACTAAGTATCTGTAATAAATGTCTTCCTGTAATACTTTGATAAATAAAATGCCATTTTATGTGTGTTTAAGGTGGATTGTTTAATAGTGTTGAATAGATATTGTAATGTTTAATGGTATGCACTTGTATGCCTCTGTCTGTGTGTGCAGGTTTTCTGTATATGATCTTAAAACACCTGGTGGACAAGCATAATCTGTATTTTGCTTATTTGCCTGCGTGCCTCGACCGTCAGGTGCACCTGGGAGCTGTGAATCAAGCACTTGCTGCACCAATCATTTGCCTGTTCTGGCTCTACTTCTTCTCTCTCCTGAGGACAGGTAAATTGCACTAATCAAATGATTGGCTAATGCCGAGTTAATTGACTTATTAATTGCTTTAATTGTAATGTTGTGTGTGTGTGTGTGTGTTTGTGTGGGTGTGTGTGTGTGTGTTTTGTTTTTCAGGATTTATGGCTGATACCTCACTCTTTACGTTGGTTGTTCTGTGTGTGACCATTTTCATTTGCATTGGTTACACCTGCTTTGGCCACTTCAAGTACCTCAGTCCCCACAATTACGTTGTAAGCTAATGATCGTAATGCAGTTCTGTATGTGTTGTTTGCAGTGGTGGGCAATATGATGGTATTTTATTGCTATCATAATACATTTTGTTATCATTATAAATAATATAATTTTCTGAGCATATTGTAGAAATCATTTGTACTAAAAAAAACTGAACAACTTCATGTTTCATTACAAAGAGAATGTAATTAGGTTGTTAAAATGGATTTAGTGCTTCACACTGTGTAACACTGAATAAAAGTCATTTGTATTTTTTGATGGCAGTTTTAAAAGTAGCACTGTGAACTTACAGTGTATTGTGTGTTAAAATATCATTATAGATATGGTGTATCATGAAAATGTTGTTAAGTATTGTGATAGAATATTTTTTCCATGTTGCCCACCCTTGTTGTTTGGATGGTTTTGTCCTATGTGAAATATTAAAAAATAAGAGGGTTATACACATTGAGTTACAACTGGGGACAGGAGCAGGGTTTTGCTGAGTTAAGCTGTAATTCATATGGCTAGAAAAGCGTGTGTTGAAATTTCATATATACAGTGTTTGCTGTCATTATTATTATTATTATTATTATTATTATTATTATTATAAAAGTAAGTAGCTGCCTTAAAAAAGAGATTTTAATAAGTTCTGTGTTAACAGAATATAACACATGATTATTGTTTGATGTTCAGTGAACACTTTTTACTTTTACTTCACTTTTTGACTTTTAAGACAGTTTACTTTTTATGTTAAAACAACACATTTTTGATCTGTCTGTGTTCGTGTGTTCATGTGTGTGTGTGTGTAGGTTAGGGAAGAAGCTGAAGACTCTGATGGAGCTTCAGAAAATTCCACTAACTCTGTAAGTTCACTTATATTTTTTTATGTAACAAGTCAAATTACGTATTATTGGGAGCCAAAATGCTGTAATAATGTTTAGTATCCTTAGAATGATAATGATAAATAAACATAACACTGTTTTTGGAACTCATAATCCTTTGTGCACCCTACCCAAACATGATACACACAGGGCTCTATTTGAGGTGGGTTTCAAGGGGATGCCCCCCCCAAACTTTATACTTTAAAATATACTATACAGACAAAAGTATTGGGACAGACCAGCTAATCATTAAATTCGGGTGTTTCATGCAGTCCCATTGCCCATTTCACATTTGTGAAAGAATGTGTTGTTCTAAAAAGCCACTGTCAGTTTGCAAAATATCTTCCCTCCTAGATATTCCACGATCAACTGTGAGTGGTATTATTGAAAAGTGGAAGTGTTTAGGAACTACAGCAACTCAGCTGTGAAGTGGCAGACCACGTAAAGTTACAGGGCAGGGTCGCTGGGTGCTGTGGCGCATAGTGCATAAAAGTCACCAACGTTCTGCTGACACAATAACTGCAGAGTTCCAAACCTCCTCTGGCATTAACATCAGCACAAAAACTGTGCACCAGCAGTTTCATGGCATGGGTTACCATGGCTGAGCAGCTGCATGCAAGCTTACATCACCAAGCCCAATGCCAAGCGTTGGATGGAGGGGTGTAAAGCACGCCGCCACTGCACTCTGAGGCAGTGGAAACTTATTCTGTGGAGTGATGAATCTGGCAGTCTGATGGACAAGTCCGAGTTTAGCAAGTGCCAGGAGAACGTTAACTGCCTGACTGCATTGGCCCCTTAGTTCCAGTGAAGGAGAATCTTAAAGCTTCAGCATAACAAGACATTTTGGGCAATTATATGCTTTAAACTTTGTGGGAACAGTTTGGGGAAGGCCTGTTTTTGTTCCAGCATGACTGTGCCCCAGTGCACAAAGCAAGGTCCATAAAGGCATGGTTGGGTGAGTTTAGTGTGGAAGAACTTGACCGGCCGCACAGAGCCCTCACCTTAACCCCATCAAACACCTTTGAGCTGAACTAGAACAGAGATTAAGAGCCAGGCCCTCTTGTCCATCCTCAGTGTTTGACCTCACAAATGCTCTACCAGATCAATGGGCAATGGGCTTCCCAGAAGAGTGGAAGCTGTTACAGCTGCAAAGGGGGTCCAACTCCATATTAATGTCTATGGATTTAGAATGGGATGTCATAAAAGCTCCTGTAGGTGTAATGTGTAGGTGTCCCAATACTTTTGTCCATATAGTGTTTCTGTCCTCCCTTTATGTGCCCTTTGCATTAATGTTGTTATATCACCTAATAATATCACCTCATCGATATTTTCATTACATCCATATTTGAGATTTACACATCAAATTGCCAAATTGTACAAAATGCACAAATTGTACCAAAGTCCACAAAAAACATAAGTCCTTTCGAGATTGTCACAGGCTGTTTATGTTCACAGTCAGCTGTAGTTAAAAACCCAATTTTGGATGTGCTCCCCTAGAGCTTTATGGTCCATAGATGTTCATTTTACCACTTCAGTGAATATGCCAAGTAGACCTAAAACCTTACATAAAGCTACTAAGTGTCTTATTGAGTTGATCAAATGATTCTGATATACCTTAAAATAGATGAACTTCGCAAACAAGAGATGAGAGCTGTCACAAAACAAACCAAGTTCCAATATTTATTTTCAGAGAAAGTTTTCCCGTAACCAGACATCCAAACAGAACCCAAGCCATAAACATAGCACTAACTTGTTAACTCAAAGACTAACTTTTAACTAAATTAACCATTTTTCCAAGTGAATAAACACATGTGGAATAAATGATGTGTCTTTCACAGGTGTACCTTCCCAAAGTTTTGAACCATGACCCTGACTCCAAGTCCCCCAGCAGGTTCAGTCCTCACTTGTCATACGGCACCACGGACACAAGCCCGGCCTTTCTCAGCACTGAGGAAGAGCAACGGGACTCAGACATCTAACAGCATTGTCAGTCAGCAGATTCCAGTAAACCTACAGTACCTCCTTCAGCTAAAGGCACTGACTGGTAAAGCAGATGGAGTCAAGGCAGGTCTTTGTTATTGGGGTTTCCTGTCCTTGATGTGAAGGCACTGCTGTTCTCCTAGTGAGAATCTGAGAAACCTGTAGGATCAAATGACCTTAAAATGACCTAACCCTAACCCTAGATCAAAATAGAGCATCAAATAAAGGGCTTATATGAACACTAAATGTAAAGTCCCTTACAAACCTATAAAAACAGAAAAATGGGCTTTCCATTGAAGGGACTATGTGATTTTAAAGTATATCTTTCCTTTTTGACCATTGGAATGATACTTCTGGGACTGCTTAGGAACAAAGCCATCTTGCCAAAGACCTATAACCATTGAACCTGCCTACTCAGTTCAATGATGAGTATATTTTACAAATGTAGCTTCCCAAATGCCTTGTTAATTACCTTTTGCCAAGGAAGAGAAGCCAAATGGATCACTATTGTTTATCTTGGACTCAAATAGTACTGTAATCAGATGCCAGACTGGTTGAAGCACCATGACAGACAGCTTTCAGGATATATGTGTACATTAGGTGCAACTTATTTATCGATGCTATTAATGATCATAGGAATTTTGTAATGTCATTTTTACAAACATGATCACACTAACAGATCAAAAATCATTTATGCTGTTACAAAAAGGCAAGTTGTTGTGTCGTAACTACTCAAATGTACACATTTAATGATTTGACATTCTGCTTTTGATAAGATTTCATATTTCACCTTTGCACTTCTATTATTTTTACACAAATACATTGTATGAACTTTACATGAGAGTTTGCTTTGTGCTGTGAGCTGAGAGTGTGCACGTGCGCATGGACACGTTTGTCTGTCTGGATGATGAGTGGCACTGTAAAATCCTCACCACTGGATGGCACTGTTGTTTTAGGTTGTAGGATTCTATGTAAGTGCATGTGTGTCTTTGTATATGCATGTTGCTGTTTGTGTTCTTTGTTCTAAAGTCTGGGATTTAGAATGAGTGGCTGAAGGGAGAGCAGATGTATGAGTGTGATGTATGAGTGAATGTAAGTGGCTGACCTTTTTTACTAGGAAGGAGACTGTGTATATTTGTTCTCGATTGTATGAATTATGTGATTGGAATAGGAACAGCTTTGGATTTGCTAAGCAGGTTTAATGAATGTGCAATGAGTTTCATGAACCATGATTTTCTTAGTATTGTGTGAATGAACAAGGGCCTGGCCCAGTGAATGGCGTGCATGTACTGACACACTTCCGCTCACTCAATACCTTGCTAATTAGTGGCGTTACTGCAAAAGCCTCTTAAGTGAACACAAAATCCTGCAGGACCCGACTGTTATGCTAGCAGGCCGATTTGGGATAAATGTTTTATTTTTCCCTGGCAACAGAAGAACTCTTGGGGTGTGTGTGTGTGTGTTTGGGGGGGACGGTTTGCTGTATGGCCTCTGTGTGCCATCCTGGCTTCCAAAGTATATATTTATGAACTGCATTGCTGACTGGGAAATCATAAATTTCAGTTGCTCATAACGCCAACTTGCACGCTCAATGTTTCTGTCAGTAAAAATGGTTGTTTCTTTGAATAGGTTTAAGAGGGGGCACAGCTTATGGGGCCAATATCCTACAATTTTATTTTATCTTCATTTTCCCTGAAATACACTTACAGTGTTTGTGTGGGTTTATGTGCCGACTCACATGTGTCATAACTCATTTTTACATGACCATTTTCAAACCTTTTTTATCCTTTAGAATTAAACTGGACCCAAAAAAACATTTTTAAAGCATCTTAGTTTTAGGATGATCTTAACTGGTACAGAAACAGTGCAAAAGCCTTTTAGGAGTTGCCAGATTTTGTGTGCCATCCCCCGGAATAATTGTGTCTCTACTTTTTTATGACAATGATTGTCCATCAGTTATATTTATTTGTTTTTTTTTAGTGCCCTGCACTAGTTCAATTAAGTTTCATTAAAAAAGAATGAAACAGAAAAATAGAAAGGAAATGAGTAAATATAATTTATGCAGTAATACAAAATGCGTTCAGTCATGAACGTAAAATGTTTGACCTTTTTATATCTTTATAGAATATTTGAGTATTCAAGAGCCCTGGAACGGAAGGCCTGAAGTGCTGTAGGCTGTAAATGCGTTGGTTTTAGTGACACAAAATTAATTTATAAAATGGGCTGTTTTTACAGTGTAGTTTCCATTTGTAAATCAATAGAACGTTTTAAAACTTAAGGTTTACATACTACAGTAAACTATTTCAAAAAAGTGAAGAAAGTGCCTCGTAGATTTCATACTTCTGAAATCAGTGCTTTGTTGAGGGTGTGCTGCAATATATCTCTTAAATCTCCTACAGCATGCTTTTTTCTTTCTCAGATGCTTTAAAAGGTCATCAGGTCTACTTGGCTTTGCTAAGAGAATGGAGACTTTTTTATATATTTATATTGTACAAAAAATGAAAACAGTATGTAAAGACAATCTCCCTGTCTGTTTCATGTGTGCTTGTGTGTTTGTGTGTGGGGTTGATTCTCAAAATGTGCAGTTATGCTGCACTACAAAGATATTTCTGTTAAATGAAAAGAAATGGCAAATGCATGTAAATATCGCATTCTTGTCTAAACCATATGTGGGGAACCATATAAAACTTGAGCCTGTACAATTGTTAGTTATTTTATTATATAGTTTTATTTTATATTGGATGTGATGGCATAGCATAAGGGCTTTTATAGCCAGTGACTTTGTTTTAAAAGCTTCAGAACATTTTATAGCCTCAGTAAAGCAATAACCAGAAGATGAATGTAAGAAAAATCCACAATACTACAAGTACCATTTAAAAAGACAGCAAACTCTAATGTAGATGAGTGAGTGTGTTTGACCTGGGGGTGATGAGGGTGCCTCATGTGGCAGCTGGCCCAGTCCACAAAGTGAGGCATTCTGGGATTTGTAATGCACTCAGGGTGTAAAGGCCACTGGCAGTCGTAGCAGTGCTAGAGCTATTTAGTGGCTATTTGGTTACTTAGCTGTTTAGTGTGCACGCATGTTCAGAAGCCATTGAAGCCAGCTGCATTGTGTGGAGTCTTTGTCCTCGACTTTTGTAAAATGCAGAGAAAGTTTGAACATGCAAAGAAAATACATTTTCACGTAGAGGTATGTACTGTGTGTATGTTCCAGTGGCTTAGAAACGCATTTTTTTCAAATAGTGCAGCGAAATATTTCCTCTACTTTTGCACATCTGTCACACTAAATAGTTTCAGATCCTCACACAAAATGTAATCATAGACAAGGAGAGTATGAGGGAACAAAAAACACAGTTTTTAAATGGTCACTCTTTATAGAAAGAAAAACAAGGACTTTTCCCATCTGTGTGAAAAAGTAACTGCCTCCTAAACTTAATAATTGGTTGTGCCACCTTTAGCAGCGACAACTGCAGACAGACTCATTTTATAACTGAACATCAGTCTTTCATGTTGCTGTGGAGGACATTTAGCCCACTAGTCTCTGCAGAATTGCTTTAATTCAGCCACATTGGAGGGCTTTTGAGTCTGAGGTCCTGCCTCAGTATCTCAATATGGTGCAAGTCAGGACTTTGACTAGGCCACTACAAACCTTTATTTTGTTTCTTCTGAGACATTTAGAGTTGGACTTGCTGTTATAATTTGGATTGTTGTCTTGTCACATAACCCAGTTGCGCTTCAGATCATGGGTTGATGACCGGAAATTCTCCTATTTTCTGGTAGAGAGCAGAATTTGTGGTTCTGTCAATTATGGCAAGTAGAACAGACCCTGAAACAGCAAAACTCTTTTATGTTCCCCTTGGTTAGCAATTGTTTTAGCCTTTGGCCCAGTTGTTTTGGACTTTCCTATTGATTCCATTTTTGCCCAGAGTCTTGACCATATTTTGTCACTTCCTAGATGAGTTGTTGCTGTGCTCTTGAAGGAATTTTGATAGGCCGGCCTCTTCTGGGAAGAGTCAACTCTTCCAAGTTTTCTCCATTTGGAGGTAATGGCTCTCACTGTGATTCATTGCGGTCCCAGAGCTTTCTCATCTCCTCCAGAATTTCTTATGTTTGCAGCATAGTGTGCTGTTATCTGGCACCTCTTAGGTTCTATTTAAGTGATCTTTAGATTCAGCATGGCAGCCAGTAATCACGCCTAAGAGTAGTTTAACTGATCCCAGTTATCAGCTAAATTTGTTTAATTGGTTGACTGACTGAGTAATTAAAGGGGCAATTACTTTTTCTCACAGGGCCAGTTGGTGTTGGAGAACATTTTTCTTTTCGTAAATGAAATGATCAATTAAAACTGTATTTTGTGTTTACTGAGGTTGTCTTTGTCTTATCTGAAAATTTTGAGTGAAGATCTGAAACTATTAAGTGTGACAAGAAAAAAACAGAAGAGATCAGGAAAGGCCACTTTCACAGCACTGAATGGTAAACTGCACACATGATGTAAAACAACACTGTGCAGTTTTCCAATGTGCTGTCTGTGTGTATATTTGAGGGGTTTTCCAGGAGAGAAATACACTCAGGAGACTGTGAATGGAGGAGGGAGGAGCGTGTCTATGTTTATAGACTAGTCTGGCCATGTGAGGAAAAAAAAGGAGCACAGGAAAAAAAACTGCTGCTGTTCAGTCTCAGCTTTGCAGAGTTACATTATCAAAAGGAGGGGAACTGACTGGGATATCAAGATGATTACAACCTTCCACTCCCACACACATGCAAAGAGGAGATCCGTCAGTGACAAGTCAGTGAGATGTGAAGGGGTCCCAGCACTTTGAACCTGGAGAATGATCAGCATTGTGGGGTCACAGAAACTAGGGCAGTGACATACAGAGGGGGCTTGTCCAAAATGGTGCCCTAAGCCTTGCAGTCTTCCTCCAAGTCAGCACTTTGGTGACATTGTGCAGACCTATGGGCCAACAATCCTGGAGGGTTTTAAGTTAAAAACCAGACACTCAGACAAACTTGTACAACATGCAGACTATATATACTGTACCCTGCGACATGTGTAATCAATAATTTATCAATCGTACATGCATATATCACATGTATAGTTAATCTCAATGACGTGGGAAGTTAATACAAAATCTCCTCCTTGTGTTAAGTTAATAAAGAAATGCTCACAGGTGTCACGTGTCTTCTTCACCATCATGCTGGTCAGGGACCTGAAAACCAATCCTAGCTCGTACTGCAAAAGAATTTTGGATAAAAGATCTCATTTGATTTAAGGCTGCACATGAACAAAATACTATTACATATTGCAATTTACAGTAGGCCTATTGTAAACAAAGAAACAGTAATGTGTTATTCACTGGTCTACAGTATTTTCACAAAAATAATTAACTTGTATTGCTAACAAGAGTCAAATGGAAGGTCCGACTCTATGTTTACATCTCAAATGCAAAATTAAAGTGCTTCACCCAGCTTTCTTGAAGTGCATGCACAGTTCTGTGGGTGTTACTGGCCTTGCACTGTCTTGGTTTCAGTCTTCAGTAAATGACAGCAGCTTGTGAAAGTAAAAGGGATTAGTCAGCCCCTATAACTGCCATCTATTGTGTTCCACGGGGGTCAGTCCTTAGGCCATTTTTATTTAACATTTATATTCTCCCACTTGGTTGCATTATTCATCAGCATGGTTTGAGCTATTATTTAAATGCCAATGTCACTTAAATTTACATTTGCACAAAGCCTCACTTAACATTTGTTTGCAAGAAATCCAATCCTGGCCTCATAGTCATTTGCTTAAGCCCAACCCTGATAAAACTGAAGTGATTCTAATTGGCCTCATTGTTGGGTCTGGTCGCCATATTAATCGGTCTATCATTAATGCTTTTGTTACTCTTTCTGTACATGTTACAGCTTGGTGTTATTTAAGATGCAATTCTATAGTTTAACTCACATGTTATCAATGTTAGGCAGTCTGCATTCATTCATTTAAGGAACATAGACTGTAATTCAGTCATATCTAACATTTTTAGATGCCATGCGCCTTATACATGCATTTATGTCTTGTTGTCTTGATTACTGCAATGCTCTCCTAACTGGTCTTTCTCTTCACATTCTTCACATGTGGCTGCTTACATCTACCTCTGTGCAGCACCATATTACACCCATACAAAGATTTGCACTGGTTACCCATGTCTCGCTGGATTACGTATAATGTACTTCTCACATATGAGGCCCTACATTACACTGTTCTGTATTATATGTCAGAAATGTACTGTCCACACTGTCTGTCTCATTCTCTATGATCATCTAGCCGTGGATGTCTTGTAAAACCTGAGACCTGAGGTTTCTTTCCATGCGTGATAGAGCTTTCTCTTCACACCTGTAAAATCAGCACCCTGATAATGTATGAGCTGCAGACAAACTGAAACCTTTTAACTCTCTTCTTGAAACCTACCTTTTAGAGATGTAGATTGTTGCTGATCTATCTGTGTCCAAAATTGAATGTAATTTTTTTTTTATTATTATTTATTTAATTATTTTATCTTTTCTCATTGATGTCCAATTGTAACATGTTATTTTTTCCTGTTTGTTTCATGTATGTCTGTAAAGCTCTTTGAGAGTCTGGAGAAAGGGCTATATATAAAGAAAAAATATGTTTTACATGCTCTTCTATATGGTGAAATTACCAACCCCTGGACAGTGGGGCTAGGCTAGTAAAAGTCATGGCAAGTCAGCTCATATTCGCTATTTTAAACAGCGAATAGCTAAGACAATAGCTATTAACAATAGCTATAACACCAGTCTGACCAGGATTTTACTCATTTGTCTAGCAAACTGAAAAATTTCAAGAGACTCTGACTGGCGACAAAATTCATTGGTAGAAATATGGGTGGCTAATTAAAACATGATAAAAAATGAACTGCAACAGGATAAGATGCTAATAGTTAAAAACAAAGTTAAAAAAACATGGTTAAGAAGCTCATTTGAATATTATAAGGTCCAATTTTGTGATAACGATATTGTACAACCCAAAAAGACTGTATTAAGTGCACATTAATTGCACATGCAGGACACGTGAGCACCAGAAATGAGACATAAGACACCTTACAGCCTTGTGGACCTTGCAGGTGCGTGCAAATGAGGACCACAAGACTTCAAATGCCCCATTTGGGACAGGGCCTCAGAGCAGGATTGATCTGGTCTCTGTTTTTTTCTGGCTCATGCTGACATTCTTGGTTTCCACAGCATAAAACCTGATCCTGAAATGGCAGCAAACATGTGCTGTGAATATGGTCCCTTTAAAACCTGCACTCTGTTGTAGACTTGAGTTCGCCTCATGGTTCAGCACACAATCCTTAGATAGCCTTGATCCAGCTGGCCTAAATCAGTGTGCTGTCGAAATTCTGGAGCTTGCTAATTGTTGTTACGGTTGGATGGAGTACTGCTCTGACCGTGGGATATTTCAGAATGGTCCAACACATTTTAGACATGTTCATTTTCCTCTCCCATTCCCTTCTCTATATAATACATACAGTAAAGTCCCATTCATTGCTGGAAAACTGTAGTTTTAGTGTCTAGTGAATAGCACTGAATGGGAATACCATCTTGGCATTTTGGTAGGGTGTTAGTTTCGTTCTTTATCCCAATTGTGATTGATGGATCCAAGCTCATAACCCTGCATGTCAGTGATTGATCTCTTTGCTAGCTGAACCCAAAGCACAGTTTCCCCTTTGATCTTTCCCTTTGGTTTCAGGGGATTATTTCCATGGAAACACTGGTGGTCTATAGGATTCTTTATGGTAGAAGCATGTCGTGAACCCCAGACCCATGGCACTAAGCACATTCAGCTTCTGTTTGACAGGACTTCTAAAAGAAAACTCCTTGGCAGAGGTTTGCAAAACTACCAGCTTTTCACTGGATTCATGATCAGAAAACAGACAAATAGTCCATGAAGGTGTCACCTCTGATGTTCGCTGTACATTCACTTTCATGGTTTTTAAAGATAAATCCTAGCTAGTCCTGTAGTCCAGTTTCTGAAAGCAAACTGCATTTTTACCTCTTTCTTAATCTCTCTGCCTCCCTATCCTCCCATCTGTCTTCCTGCCCAAAATCTTTCCTGCACAGAGATGTATGTATAGAGTGTGTGTGGTAATATAAAAAGAAGGCTGTTGCCTACTCGTCATTAGTAATACTCAAGTCTGATCTCGTAAAGAATACCCTCATTCTCAACAGTCAAAATGAATAAAAGTCTTTTCTTTACATGTTTAAAATAAAATCTGCACTGCTCTCCTCATTCACTACATAATCAATAAACAACTTTTTTTTAACTGCATAGCGTTACATGAACATTATTTATTGCTGTCTATCCTGTAACATAAATAGGATGAACTACAAATTAATTTCGATATGCAAAGGTTTGCTCACCCCTGGTCAAATGATGTTTTCTTGACTTTTTTTTAAGTGAAAATAAGTCAAGACGTCTATAGAGAACACACCTCTGCACAATGCACAATTACTATTTATTTTTTTAATTTAACATATTGAAATAAAATAAAACAAAGTATGGCCTGTGCAAAAGTTTTGCCATATATTATATTTTATTTTTTCCATTATGATAAAATCTGCAAATAAATAGTAATTGTGTACTAAGATGTGTAGAAAAATGCCATATTTAAGTTGGTTGACTAAGTCTTGACTACAATACTAGCAGACACAGTTCAGCACATGGTTCCCCTTCTTTCTCTCTCTCTCTCTCTCTTTCAGAGAAGACCCCCTCCCCCCACCTCTTTATTTTAGCTCATAATCAAATGATAGGGCCAAATATAATCCCTACACATTTACTGAATGGGTGTTGTTTAATTAATTCTGAAACATCATCTGGATCACTACATTCCTGAGAATAATTCCCCTGGAAAGTTTTTGGGGTGAGCTAATTTAATTCTCTGACATTGGGTTATAAGAATTAGAGGCATAAGTTGTACAAGAAAAGTTATTAAAAATATATGACTATAAGGGTGTTGTGAAGAGGGTAATTCTTTGGATTTTATAGCATTAGTAAAGATTTTTAGAGCTGTCTTGCAGGAGGTGAGTTTGTCTACAGGTTTGCAGCTAGATGTGGGACGTGGTTACATCCACACCAAATTTATTGCATCATGGCACTAATCATTTGCACTTTTCAGTCAGTTGCACTTATCAATTAAATACTAAAAATGCATTATTCTTACTGTTGCTGTAATTGTGATGATGATGATGATGATGATGATGATGATGATGATTATCATTACAACTAATAAGCACAATTGACATTTTCCATTTTAACAAAGTAGATTATTTCTCTGATTTCTATTTTACTGTGTTACTGTGTTTTCATAGCTTACTAATTGATCAAGGTCCTTCATTTTAAAAGATGATATAGGATATTTAGTGTTGTAATGCATCATGATGACACAATTTAAAGAATGCAAAGAAAATAAATTGTTTGACATTATAAATTATGCATAATGGAAAATCAGACGACAACTGGTGCAAGATTCGTCCAGGGAGGACAATGCACCCCTTTTCAAGATTTTTATTTTTCTAAAAATAAAACTGAATGCTGTTCCAGTTTATTTCCCCTCGCTGTGCACCCTGAACATGCTGTGCACGTGTACAAATACGGTTATTTGGGCAATGTTCATAAGGGGGGCTCCTTCCCCATTTCCGCCTTACAGTGCAGGTTAATCTGATGGACAGTTCTGTGCAGTCTGCTCAGAGCACACGTGCGCGCCATTCTCGCTAAATTCACACATTAGTGAAGAATCTGACCAGAGCCAGCATACACACATTTACTCAAACTCACACAGACGTTTAAACCTTGGCTGACTGGTGATAATCCAGTGTTTCCTCTCTCTCCTGCACACACACACACACACACACACACACACACACACACACAGTTGGAAGATGAGCTCTCTCATCACCTGTGAATGTGTTTAAAGCAAATGTAAAACTCCTGGTACCTTGCGGGGCAGCCGGCAACACTGCATCATCCTGTCAGCTGGGCAAAAGGTTTAACGTCTTTTTAGCCTGCTGACAGCTTCACACATGTGTGGATTTATCCATCAATCACTATAATAATTATAAAGTTATATAACTATAAAGTTTTTCTTTGTCCTAAAGAGAAGGGCTGTTTGCTTTTCCTCCCGCACTGTTTGAGAGGGAAACTGAAAACTGAACGGTACAATACACTGTGTGCAATACTGGTGTGAATACCCATGTATTACTATTTCACCCAAAACAACAGTTATGTTTAAAGACAGACTTTTAATGTTTATGATTTGTTCCATTTAGTTTCCACAATCCGTAGGTCTTCACTACTGAGTTTGCTTGAGCACTTCCGTACACTGTTGCTACGGCAACAAGTAACCAAGAGATTTGTTTACCTTGGCAACCGCGAGCAAACACGGGATTACAGGTGGCGAGCGAAGCAACCATTTGCTAGCCAGCCACTCGCACATAAATTTATAAAATTTGGCTGAGATGGATTCAGATACTTTACACTATTCGCTGGATTTAGTGTCTGGGAACGGCTTGACGTTGACAGCTGAGCAGAGAGCAGCCCTGCAAACCTCTTCGGTTATTCTGAAGAGAAACTACAAATTCAACCGCGTCTTATTTTGGGGAAGGATCTTAGGAATGAAAAGTGATTATTATATAGCTCAGGGGATTGGGGAAGATGAAATGAGCGACAGAAAGTGTCTATACAGGTAAGAAATATCTTAGTTTTGTAGCCATGGTGTACTGCATACGAAGACGGAGAGAGGTCGCTGGACAGTGTCTTTAAATGCGGTTTGCTGTAGTTTCATTAAAACACTGTAATAGTGCAAGAACTGTAATAGAAAATCGTTTAAGGTAGCTAAGCAGCATTATGCTACAAAGATTCTTGCTGTACTTGAGAATGGTTGTAGTGAAAGTTAGAATAGACTGACGAGAGAATCATAAATGCAATGGGAAGTGCACAGTTGAAGCTTTAATGCATAATTTGTTGAGTTTCACATACTAAAAAAAAAATAAATAAAACATAGAACACAAAATGTGCTACAAGTTTGTGCAGGCCACATTTTATGTTAAATTCATTATGTTTATGTTAAATTCATTAAATTAATCTGAACTGTAATGTGTCATATTTCTTTTCATCTAGTTTTAACTGCATTGATTGGCACTTGCTCCCTCCTGCCACGGATGCCCTGATAGAAGAGGTGGCAGTGGCAGCCAAGGGGTGTTTTACAGGTGACCCATCACACGAGTATGAGCACACAGAGATTCGGCAGCAGGGAGAAGGAGACGAGGCTGTGGAGGAGGAGGTCATGGTGAGGCTGAGGAATACTTGGGAAAGATCAGAACAACACATGGACAAGAGTCCAGGAGTGATCAGTTCTGGTCCAGGTTGATCTTTGTGCAGCACAGTTCAATGATGTCACCTACTTATCCTGGTAAACATTGAATTCAGGAGTGCTTGAGCTGGGAAATCACTGACTGTGCTGGACTCACGACCTCCAGAAACAGAATCTGGACTCCCCTGCAGTACTCCTAAATAGACATAAATGGACACCTACATTGGCAGTGTCCTGCACAGCATTTCACATTTGGTTTATTAGTAGGGTGAAGTACATAAAACCTGGATATTTTAGTTAAACAGGTTCATGTAGAATGTTGGTAATTTTCTCACATTTCCATTTCCTCATCTGTGAAACGGAAATGTTTAGGTTGCTTGTATAAAAAAATAATCTTGCTCAAATATTTTTGTTTAATTATTTAGCAAAAAAAGAAATCAGAAAATCTGGCATGTGCCCCACTTACCCCTACTAACCTAAATTCTTGAAAGGCTTGGAATACTGAAAGACAGACACTGCTCAAAGTGCCAAGTAAGAAACACAAAAACATAATCTTTGGTAAGAAATAAATTCACTTGAACATAAACAGCTCATTGAAGATTAGGAACACATGATTTTCCTTGGAAATTGGAATAGGGTGTTTTTGTTGGATTACTTAATGATTACTGAATGATTAGGAGTATGAGCTACTTGGAATATGTTGGGCTGCAGACTGACCATAAACACGAAGAGGTGGTGATGATGTTTTTCCTCTGTCTGTAGGTGAAAGTGAATGAAGAGAAAAGATTGGCTGTGTCTGTGTTTATCATTGATAAAGAGGTGGCTGTTGTACCACGTGGTGCATACATGAAGAACCCTAATGGCACTGTACAGACAAACCGCAGCTTTGAGGGTATGGTTACAGCATTACTTTCCACTGTGTATGTGTGTGAGTCTATGTGTGTGCCTGTGTTTACTTTTAGAGCTGGGATGCAGCTGTCTATGTGTATTAGTCCAGACTGTAAGCCTTAAAACATTTCTTCAAGGAACACCAGAATGGTTCTCATGTACAGGGTGCCTGTTATCTCTAGAGCTGTCATGTTTAGTCAATTAAAAGAAATTGATTGAAACTGAACTTCTTAATAAATCTGCAATGATTATTTGGCAGTTTACATTATGAAAATGCATTGTCTCAATTTTCCCACCAGTTTGTCTTATAATACGAAACAGAGCCTGATGGCATTTATATGCACTTTTTGTCATGCAGTTGGTCAGTGTTCTTCAAGTACTGATGATATCCATCAGATACTCATAAAAGCATATTATGGCATAATTTATCCTGATAACAATGCCATATTGTTCACCCCTCTTCCATTAATCATCAAAATTACTCAGTTACTACTATAATTGATAGTGACAATGTTTGTTATCACCAATAAGCATGTGGCGGTCAGTTAACTTTCAGACCTCCCCTTATTTCCTTCTATCCTCAGGCTTGAACCCCTATGAAGCAGGAAAGCTGAGGAACTATCTACATTTTTCTGAGCCCAAAAACCTGAAGAAGAAAAGCATTTTAGAAATTGCTGATCTGAACCCCTCCATCGACTTTCTGGATTCTCTGAGTGAAGACACACCCAAAGGTGAAGCTTTAACATAACTAGTACTGGACCCTTCACTGAGAGCTATGAACTGCTAGATAGACTCTCTATGCTGTTATTCCTCGAGGTAGCCTGAACTCTCCATTTTAATACTCCCCATGTGAACGTATAAACACTAGTTCAAAGGTTTCATCGCATGTGAACATTGTTCATGCTTAGCTTCATGTAAGCAGCTTATCTAAAGGCAAATACTCATTCACAGGAAAATACTTCTCCTTCAGACCCTCACTGTGTAATTCAAAGCCATTCCAAGAAATGATGCTTACAGTCAAATAGTCTTTAAATAACCCTAATAGGGAAGAGCAATGTGATGATGGTGTATGTCTTCAATTAGTGACACTGGGCTCTTCCTCTCTGAAGCTGGACCTCTCCCATATATTGACTGATGTGAACTGGCAAGTGCCTAAACTGGAAGCCGAAGCCCAGGAGGTTTCCGAGGCGTAGTTCTGATTCCATTGTTCTCTCTTCATATGTTCATGCTTTTGTTTCCTCAAGAGGCATGTTCAAGAGATTGCTATCTTCTGCACAAGCGATAATTAAATTTTTCTTTCCCACATATTTTCATGCTTCTGACAACTTTGCTTGTCATGTGGGGACAACCAAGGAAAACATTATTCTGTAAACTATCACTCTATTCAGCTTTTAGTCTGTCTGGCCAGCAAAACTGCTGAAACTCATCATCAGTCACACCTTTTAAACTTCAGCTGTTTTTGTTAGTACTGGGAGCAAGATCCACACTAGAAGGCTTTGAGTTTGTCAGACTTGCAGTTGCAGAACACTTCATTCGTGAAAACACTGCTCAACTAAGCTTGAGCCTTGACCAGTTGGAATCTCAGACGTAGAGCATGTTAGGGAAATCCCTGGAGGATCTTTGAAATTCCTGAATCTTCCATCAAGTAGACAGAAGCTTGGCTTCCATCCTTGGTATTAAGTATTAGAAATGGTGCTTATAGATAGTAGTCATCACTCATCATATTGGATAGTCTTGATTCCAGCTGTCATGAGTTCCACATTGACATCTAGATCCATTTTTCACTGTGAGTCTGACTGAGCAGAACGATCTGATTTGTTCCAGGCACCAGATGAAAAAATTAAAAATTCTGACAGATCTACATTCTAGTGTCAGTCATGTTTTGAGTTATTCCTGTTGGAATAACTTGTGACTATTACAGTACCATGCAAGACCACCCTTCATTTATTTAATTTCCAGTCAAACGACTATTACATTGTTTATTTCTCAAGAAATATTTCTGAGTAGATTATAAATATGAGATAATCCACAACAGGAGTTCAAAAACTAAAAGATGTAGAGAAAGTCTGACTCCTAACAACCGTGCAAGATCTGGTGGACCACCGAAACAGTCACTGTCAGATAAACAGTATAGAAAGCTTCCATTTTTGAGAGACAGGAAAAAAATCAAGCTTCACTCTTGCTTCAGATCTGTCCATACTACCACTGTGAGAAGACGACTCAATGCTATGGGTCTGAAAGGATGTGTAGATGCCAAGAAGCCATCACTGAGAAAAGGAAATGGCCAAAAAAGAGAGAAAATTTGCAAATCAATCAAAGAAGCTGCTGTTGTTCTCAAAACAACTCACCCTCCACCCCAGAGTCCAGACCTCAGCATCACTGAATGTGTTTGGGATTACTTGGATCATGAGAAGCAGAAAATGCAATCAACTTCTAGGACTGATCTTTGAAAGTATGGTAAAATATCACTGCAGATTGAAGGCAAACACTGAAAGCAAGTCTCCTTAAAAGAATGGAAGCTATAATAAATGCAAATGCAGCTGTAAGAAATGGTATTCTATTAGAGATTGAGGCTTGTATCTAGATTGTTAAATATGTTTTCTGCTTTTTCTGGATGACAAAAAATTAATTACCGTTTCGACTGAAAATAAAATACATGAAGGGTGGTTTCTGACTTTTGCGCGGTACAGCATGTAATTTTATTGCAACAGTGCACAATTTATAATTACTCATAAATCGAATCTATACAGAATATAACAGAATATAATCCATTATATCCAGTGTGTAAACAGATACTTATAGGGGAATGCCATGGAGGCATGAGCTTATGCTTAAGTCACAAGAAAAGGTCACAGAACTGAAAAAACATTCCAGACTTTCTTCATAGCTTTACAGTGGCCAGACAGAACAAAGCCTTTGTCAAGACCTTGGTCAGTTTTCTATAAAAAGAGGGCTCTTAGTTATTGGGCTGTAACTTCTTTGCAATGTGTAGGCAACATTGCTAGAAGATTAAAACATTGCCGCTTGGCCTGGAGTTTAATTTTGTCTGATATTCTCTCTTTATTATTCATATAACATTTCTCATGTTTAACAATTCATATCAATGTTTTTTATGGGTCATGTATTTACCACAGGGATGTGACTTTAAATGGTGAAAAGAATAATTGAGGCGGTAGATTGGGCTTCATCATAGGTCAGTTACTTGCTTGATCAAAGCATTTTACTTACTAAACGTTAGAATATTCTGACTCAACCCAAACATTTCTCTTTACTTCCCTCATATAAACAGAGAAAAACATTGTTCCTGAGGTGACCAGGTTCATCTGAATGCATGGTTTTCCAGCAAAATCTGAGTCGTAACTCCCTCTGGGAAAGATGTGTGATGTGTTGATGTTAAATTGACACTGAATTTACTTAAAACCAATGGAGATACGAGAAATCATGGTAAATTTGTTTAATAATGCAATACATTTTGAGCTAATTTGAAACTAATTTCAGGATGAACAAATCTAGTTAGCTATTAAAGCCTAGCTATTTTTGAGCTATTAAAGCTCACAATGTTTGAGTTATGTTTCACTGGAGGGAAATTAACCTGTGTTTGAAACTCTTCTGATCCCATGGAAGGACTGAGGTGAGGGTGGACCTAGTATTGGCATTTTTAGCCTGTACTGAAAGCAGAAGCCATGGTCTCTTGCTAAGTATATAGTGCAGCCAAGCTTTTAACTCTATTTATGTGATGATAATCCATCCTGTCATTTTAACCATGCAAAGAACAGATAAAATGAAGCAACATTTTTAGATGAGTTTAGTAAAACAATGTTGTAGTGGTCTTTTGTATTTAGTAGAAGGAGTCACACAAATGGTAACATTCATTGTTGCTCACTCACTCACTCACTCACTCACATTTACTCTTCATTTGTCAGTCACCCTCTGTAATGGCTTGAATAGAGTCAAGTCAAAGTTTATTTATATAACTGCATTGTTGCAAAGCAGCTTAGTTAGTAGCATAGTTCCAGTGAATCTTAATGCTTCAGCATACAAAGACATTTTGGACAACTGTATGCTTCCAATTTTGTGGCATCAGTTTTCTGTTCCAGCATGACTGAGCCCCAGTGCAAAAGGTCCATAAAGGCAGGGTTGGTGAGTTTGGTGTGGAAGAACTTGACTGGCCCAGACAGAGCCCTGACCTCAACCCCACTGAACACTTTTGGAATACACTAGAACAGAGATTGCGAGGCAGGCCCTCTCGTCCAACATCAGTGTCTGACCTCACAAATGCTCTTCTGTATGAATGGGCAAAAATTCCCAAAGACACACTCCAAAATCTTGTAGAAAGGCTTCCCAGAAGAGTGAAAGCTGTTCTAACTGCAAGGGAGGACCAACTCCATATTAATAACTATGGATTTAGAATGGGATGTCATAAAAGGTCCTGTAGGTGTAATGTGTAAATGTCCTAGTGCTTTTGTTCATATAGTGTATGTCACATAGTTAAAACAGTGGTAGCAACCATCCTGAATTGTGAATCTGTACTTTAGTCAGAATAGTATATTACAAGGTCAGAAACCACATAAGCAAGTTTATTTGAGATTACTTAACTCCTAAATGGCCAGGGCCTGCCAGTGGGCCTAAAGTTGTATTACACACTTCTTTAACCTAAGAATAGCTCAGTCAATTTGACTTGAAGTCCCTGTGGTTGAATAATGAGCCTTAGTGTCTAATAAGCCTGGGATTAACTACATGGTTTCAGGTGTGCCGTTAACACATTGCTAAACTGTTGCCTATAATTTTCCATTAATTGATAGCTACATTAGCTTAATAGCTATAGCGGGAAACTTCACACACCCAACACATCTAGGGTGATTGTCTACAGTTTGGTAGGACAAAATTGTGTAAATTTCATTTTTCATCTAGCTATTGCTTTCACTGAACATCTCATCGAAATCGTCATCAAAGTCTGTTGAGAGCCTTATGTCATTATAGCACTTACAAATGATCCAAGGTGAAGATAAAGTGAAGTTATCTGCATTAAACACTTCTGTACATCAATGAGCCAAAACATTATGCCTAATCTGCCTATATGTTAGCAGCAGATCCTGTAAGTCATGAGGTGGAGCTGCTGCTAATCAGACTTTTTGTTCCAGTATATCCCACTTGATCAGCCTGAGATCTGGATAATTTGGCCCTAACTGACATCCACATCAATGCCCGGACCCAGGGTTTCCCAGCAGAACATTGCCCAGAGGGCCATACTCTTTCCACCAGCTTGTCTTCTTCCCACAGTGCATTACATGACCATTTTCCAATCTCTTGTTATCCTCTAGAATTAAACAAGCTGCTTTTGTTACTGTACATATATTGTGGTATATGTAAAAGTTCTGTGTTCTGATTAGCTGTTCTATATGGTGCCACCTTCAAAAGGCAGTCTGGGCTGAAACACTCCTCATTACATTAGGGTGAATGGGTGGAGCTAAACTGCCATGGGTTGAACAGGCATGTGTGTGTAAATGAGTTTTGTGACATCACAAAAACAACGAATCCAAAACACGCTGTTTTTTTCTTGGTTAGTTTTCATATATAAACTGTATGGACTGAGATGTGAGCTGTATATTTTGAAACAACGTTTACTTATGACCTCAACGTCTTCTTTAAAAAAAAAAAATTAGGAAAATTCAGTTTTCCATGGTACGGGCCCTATAAATTAAATTTGCTAATATCTGCAGGTACACTACAAGAGAGAAAGAGTATCAGCAGCTGATCTTCAGCACAGTGCTACACAAAGTCCTGGGTAACATGCATTTTAGTGCTGAGTGATGCCTGGCCCAAGGCAGCTGGACAAAAAGGCTACCCACACAGCTACAAGTCATTACAGTGCATCAGCAAGGTGGCAAAAGCATACTGGAACAGAGCCATTCTTGGAGTATTTCTCTGTTCCCTAGAGTAGAGTGTGTCAGACATTCACAAAATTTGGCATAACAAAGTGTCTCCAGCAACATCTGAACATCTTCCCAGGGATTGATCATCATTCTTTTTTTATTAACTGTGATTTATTTTTAATGTGACAGCATAATTTTGTTGGCAGCTGGGAGCCATCTCTTACCCAATCCAGCTGTATTCGTTCACACACCTCCAACAATAAGTCTGTCTCTCTGTCTAGGATCATGGAGTCTACAGTTTGAGCAAGGCAGCAGAGTGTGCATGATCAGAAGTCTGCTGTGGCAAGATCTGACATTCTTCCACATGCCCATGACCCCCCAGCATGGTTACATCTACACAGGACAAGGACTTAAGAGCCTGGACCTGCCTTTCATGCTGTAGGATGAGAAGAGAATGGACCCTACAGAGGCAACCTAATAAGACTAAATGTCCCTGTAAATGTAGAGAACAGTCCATGACCTTATTTTTGATCTGCGCTGTAAATGTACTAAAACTGATAAAACAGACATTCTTTAATGTTGAAGGAGTTAATGTTGTACCATAGAGTTTCTTTTTAAGGAGGGTATGATGATGTATCTTTGTTGGCCATGCAGGCACTCATATACACACAGACACACACAAAGCAGCTGCTGCACTGAGGTATATGGAGACAGTTTATTATAAGGAACATCTGCTTTTTGTTCTGGGAACACAAGGCTAACAACCCACACCAACACTGAAATGTGTAACAGTAACCTAGGTGATTGTGAAGGCGGATGGTGGGGGGAGGGGTGTCGAGTTCATTTCCAGGGCACTGAGGCTGTCTTATATCAGACTCAGGGTTTCAACAAGTTCCATTTTATCCTGTTGCTGAGAAACCATAACCTCTATACCTGATCACCAGTCAGTTCCCCTAAAGAAGAAGCCATAAAGTTCAAATGTGAATATCCCTGTAGGTCCCAACTGTCCCATCTATATTGTGGCCTTCACTGCTGTTTGAGCACGTCAGTGCTTTGTGTAGATCGGCTTGGGGCCATATCTGACATTGTTCTTCAGGGCAGGGTGTCCTACAGGCATGCGAGTCTTGCACCATTTCAGTCCTGTCCTGTAGATGGGCTTCACTGATTTCACAGAGTAGCGTGTCAGGTACCTGTACAAAACGATACAAGTTAGAGCACTCCCTCAACAAACTGGGACAGAACTCGAGTATTTTTTTTTCTTTTTCATCAATTAATGCCCACATTCACAATAGAAAATGTCCAAGATCATGATACAGTGACTGGTTTTGGTGAGCAAAGAAATGAAATCATTTGACTTAGAAACAGCACATAGTTAAACCTGTCACGATTTTGTTTTTGTTTATTGTATACAAAATTTGGAACACAAGCCTGAAGTGGAAAAATGAGCTGATTAGCTATGAATTTAGCATCCTAGGTATCAATACTTAGTATTATTCTCCAAACCTGTGACAGACACAGCTCAAACTCAAATCAAAACAAAAATCACTCACCTCCGTCCCCAAAAGGTGTCATAGCACTGAGTCAGAAGTTAGGACTATTGCTGTGTTTGCTGTTAAACGCATAAAAGCATTTTCTTCTTTCTTTTATTTATACATATTTTGTCTCAAATCGAGTGATAAAAGCATACCCGACTCATTGTTGGGATGTAAACATATGACTGTGAAAGCAAACAACAGTAGAAAATAATCACAGTACAAATAATTACGATTAGGCAAATGTGTGGTAACTGGGCCTACATACAGATTTTTTCTGGAGTTCTGCTGCCCTGAACAGTTTGGTATTTTTCTGACTTTAGTTTGACTATTTCCTTTCCATTACTTTACAACAGTTTAAAAGGAAGACTCAAGACTCAGAATAGTCTTGTTAATTTTCTGAAGAGCTGAATTAGGTGTTCACTTGTTACATGTGTTTGATAAATATAATAAATTTATTCTTTACTGATTATTTTCAGACAATGGGCCAGATTCATAGAATTTGGTGGTAACAGCACACCATCACACAAGTTATTCATAAACTCTCCATGGCAGATTCCATATAAATTATTTGCCAAACATGGAATTTTAACCAGGAAGAAGAGGCTGTTTTAAATATGCCAGATAAATCTGTAAATCTGAAATCCCGCTTTAGCAAGTTTTTTACTTCTTTGTTCTCCTTCCACAGCAGTTAGAAGGGTTGTTGTGATGCTCCATCCAAACAGGTAAAAAAATGTCTTTTAAATATATTGGTGTTTGTGTATGTACTATTTGTTGTATGTGTGAACAAGCAAGTTTGGAAACATTGTAGAATATATTATTTAATCTACATTCTTACCGGGAAAGTTACCGTCAGAGTGTTTTAGGTGTTATTAGGACTGTGTAGCCTAACAAACTCCTTCTTCTGTGCTGTTTTTTGGAAAGGTACTTTTACTTGAGTCACTGAAATAAGACTTCACTCAACTAAAACTTGTTTAGCCTACTCTACCCAAGTTTGCATTTCAGAATGACAAAACTCTATCAAAGCCTTATTTTGTGTGTTGCAGGCATGCATAGAGGAACCCAGAGAAGCACTTTTTTGCTTTTCATTTTTTTTTTTTTTTCCAAAACTGCTTCCCATAATTCATAAGGAGTACCTGTTGAGTGGGGGGTTAGGTCTGGGTTTTGGAATGTGGCCTTCAGGGAGGCGTGGTCTGTGGTCAGGAAGGAGACCTGGAGAAATTAAAGAGGAAAGATGAGCAGAGTAAGCAGCTGCACTTTCATGTCATACATTCACTTCACACAGTTTACTTTGTACAGAAGACTCATGTGAGTAAAGGAAGGAGAGAATTCCAGTGTGGTGTGTCACCAACCGATGAGCCATATATGGATTTAACTCTGACGCTGTACAAGAACCCAAAAAAGAAGCTGAATGGCTTATGGTTTGCCAAGTGGTATAAATCTCTGACCACAATGCAATTATCATTCTTTAGGAAATAGATCAATACATTAAATTTCAAACTGCATCAAGATTTGACTGTTTGATTATTTTTGTAAAACGCAGAAAAAAAATTAATACATGAATGTGACTGAAGGAATTAGTTACATTGTAGTGAAACAACAAAAACAAGTCACCAACCTGTTTTCGATGTATGCATGAAAATAGTCTGAGAATTCAATTTTAGGTGAAATATGACAGTTCATTGTATATTATAATAAGTTCTAATATTCCGTAATCAATCCAATGTAACTGCCTTTTTTGTAATTCAAATATTTATTGCTTGTCAAGCTTGCAAAAAAGGGAAAAAAGGCACTGCTCTTCAGTTCACATACATAACCATTCGCATATAATAGTAACTGAATCTTTATTCATAAATAGAATCTTGATGCATTCTGATGGTCAATTAATTTTTAGACCCCCTAGTTTGCACTGCATCTCAAAAAGGCAGTGGTTGACAAAAGTACAAAAACTATGGGAAAATATTACATGAATAAAAGCAGTATTCGATGTATATTTCTACTTGCCCAAAAGTTCTTCTACAAATCCCAGTTCAAGAGTTGGGACAGTATGTGAAATGCAAATAAAACAGCAGTGATTTCTTAATCTACTTTGACCTTTATTTAAATAAAAAACAGTATGAAGACAAGATAATTCATGTTTTACCTTATTAACTTCATTGTTTTTTTATAAAATATATGCTCATTCTAAAATAGATGCTTGCAACATGTTCCAAGAGTTGAAACAGGGACAAATTAAAGCTAGAAATGTTAAATGTTTGGACATAAAAGGAGCATCCAGGAAAGGCCTTGAGTAAGGATGGGCGGTTTAAAAACAATGAGCCTTATTCACCAATTGTTCGAGAAGAAATTAAAACCCACACATGCAGTTTTTATGAAGATTCTGACAATTACCAAGGTTTTCTAATTTGGTGTTTGTTCTTAGATAAGAACAGAATCTACACATCGAACAGTTCTGTGGTTTAAGAACATGTCATGAATCTGACATAGACTTTTTCTGAGGACCTTTCTCAAGAACATATTTAAGAAAAAAAACTTATGAGTGAATGAACGAGGCCCAATCTTCCTCAGTAAGCAAAGATTGCAAGTATTTCACCCACTATGTTTCATAATAATACCAAAAGATTCAGAGAATCTGTAAAAATCTGTGTTTGAAAAGCAAAAAAAAGCAACTGCCTGCAACATTCAATCCCACATACTACACTGCATTAAAACTGGCATGCTACTGTCACCACATGGGCTCAGGAATACTCTGACCAACCAAATAAGCACTGTTTGCATCTACAAATGCAAATTAACACTATACTGTGCACAATAGAAGTCATATGTCAACAACATCCAAAAATGCTGCTGACTTCTCTGGGCTTGAGTTCGTCTGAAGCAGAGTGATGCACAATGAAAAGGTGCCAAGGAGTCTGACAAGTCAACTTTAAGATTTCGTATTCTCTGGACCAGACACGTATAGGACCATCCAGATATTAATGTGAAGTTCAAAAGTCAGGGTCTATTATGGTATGGGGGTGTAACTGTGCCCACAGCATAGGAAACTGGCAAATCTGTGAAAGCACCATTAACACTGTAAAATATATACACATTTTGGAGCAACATTTTGTTGTCATCGAAACAAAAGCTTGTTTCTCCCCAACAGTAACTTTACAGGAGAAGGAAAAAACATACACTATATTGCCAAAAGTATTCACTCACCCATCCAAATCATTGAATTCAGGTGTTCCAATCGCTTCCATGGCAACTGGTGTATAAAACCAAGCACCTAGGCCTGCAGACTGCTTCTACAAACATTTGTGAAAGAATGGGTCGCTCTCAGGAGCTCAGTGGATTCCAGCGTGGTACCGTGATAGGATGCCACCTGTGCAACAAGTCCAGTCGTGAAATTTCCTCGTTACTAAATATTCCAGTCAACTGTCAGTGGTATTATAACAACGTGGAAGCGATTGGGAACGACAGCAACTCAGCCACGAAGTGGTTGGCCACATAAAATGACAAAGCGGGGTCAGCAGATGCTGAGACGCATAGCGCACAGAGGTCGCCAACTTTCTGCAGAGTCAATCGCTACAGACCTCCAAACTTCATGTGGCTTTCAGATTAGCTCAAGAACAGCGTAGAGAGCTTCATGGAATGGGTTTCCATGGCCGAGCAGCTGCATCCAAGCCTTACATCACCAAGCATGATGCAAAACGCCGAATGCAGTGGTGTAAAGCGCCGCCACTGGACTCTAGAGCAGTGGAGACGTGTTCTCTGAAGTGACGAATCACGCTTCTCCGTCTGGCATTCCAATGGACGAGTCTGGGTTTGGCAGTTGCCAGGAGAACGGTACTTGTCTGACTGCATTGTGCCAAGCGTAAAGTTTGGTAGAGAGGGGATTATGGTGTGGGGTTGTTTTCAGGAGTTGGGCTCGGCCCCTTAGTTCCAGTGAAATGATCTCTTAATGCTTCAGCACCAAGAGATTTTGGACAATTTCATGCTCCCAACTTTGTG